CCTTTTGAGGGGGAAAAAGTGTGTCTTACAGAGCAAAAAATACGGTAATCAGCTACACTGAATGTGTGGACATCTTTTGAAGCTTCAGACTTAGCAGTGGCTGAGCCTTTGCAGCTTTTCTTGTGCACAGGTCTGCATTTGTAATTGTGGTGAAAAACTCAGGCTCAACAGTGAAGTCGGTACCAACCTGCTGCACTCATCACACATTTTCTCATAGTCCAGTTTTGTAATTTTGTTGGGAAAGCAGCTTATCACAAGATTTTCCTCTTCTGTTCTGTTGTTTTGCTGGCACATGTCAGACAGAATTATCCAACCTCCAGGAACTGGAATGGAAGTTCCAGTAGCACAGCCCAACCGGGCAGCCTAAACCTCAGAAAGAGTTCAAACTATGCTGGGGGGTGGGGGGGGGGATCAAATATTTGCTGCAAGTGAAAAGCTGGCATGGGGGGGACAGATTTTTTGTCCACAATATGGTACATAGTTTTATGTTACTCATTTCTGGGAGTTTGTTAGGCAAGAAAGCCCTCAAAAAGAACACCCTTTGCTTGCAGCCTGAAATGGAACAATTTTACTCCCTGCTCATTCTCCTGCATGTATAACCCAGGCCTGTTTGAGCTCCTTGCCTTTCCAAATGAAGAGCAGGACTGGCTTTGGTTACAGCCAGCAATTTCTACTGGCGTTTGGGGATGGATTCCAGAAAAAGCATTGCGAGGGTAGAGTTCCCGCTCGCAGCATTCTTGTGGCAGCTTGCAGATCCCCAGCAAATGCGTACAATAAATGTGTGCGTTTGTGGGTGAGAGAACTAGTAGCTTGTTAGCAACAGGCATGCAAAGGTGGAGCAGGGTGTACATGCTGTGGAACAGAAGTGGGAGGGCCACAAACCTCTTGGAAATTTGCACTGAGCTCTGGAGGTTCTGCCTTTCTGTTCTGTTATTGAGAAGTATTCACTGGGAGCCAAAAGATTTCCACAAGTATCTGTTCTGTGTATTTTTCCTATATGCATGTTTTGCTTTCGCATTTGATATATATCCTTGCAATTCAGGTCAGGCACACTTCTTAGCTATTCATTTGGAGGTATGGGGAGCTGTTTCCCATTTTATATGGCACTTTATTTCTGTCCCCCAAACCTAGCGACAGGTTCCTCATGCCAGCCCCTTAGTGACTGCTCTGGTCTCAGGTTCCAGGTTGATAAGAGAATTGCTTTGCTGGGCCAGTTCTGTAATGGAGACCCGTCCTCTCCGACGAATAAACTCAGCTACGGCGCTCATCTCCTCCGGCGTGATGTAGATGAACTTGCCCCGGTCATCGATTACACCTAGAGAAAACGAGACGGTAGAATTAAACTCCAGAATTCGCAGTTATTTCATATAGTTCCCTAATTAGGGCTGTCAGTCTGTCTCTAAAGTTTGGGCTGGGTTACACGATCTGCCTTTTCTGTTCATGGCTCAAAATCCTACAAGCCAGGCTCCAGCAGAATGTGGACCGAGAACTACCAGAAGTACAGGCAGGATTTCGAAGAGGGAGAGGAACTAGAAAGCAAATTGCCAAGATATGCTGGATCGTGGAGAAAGCGAGGGAGTTCCAGAAAAACATCTGTTTCATTGACTATGCTAAAGCCTTTGATTGTGTGGATCACAACAAATTGTGGCAAGTTCTTAAAGAGATGGGAGTACCTGACCATCTTATTTGTCTCTTGAGAAACCTATATGCGGGTCAAGAAGCAACAGTGAGAACTGGACACAGAACTACTGATTGGTTCAAAAATTAAGAAAGGAGTTCGGCAAGGCTGTATACTGTTGCCCTGCCTATTTAACATATGCAGAGCACATCATGAGAAAGGTGGGCCTAGATGAATCACCAGTTGGAATTAAGACTGCTGGGAGAAATATCAACAACCTCAAATATGCAGATGATACCACTCTCATGGCAGAAAGTGAAGAGGAACTAAAGAGCCTCTTGATGTGGGTGAAGGAGAGTGCAAAAGTTGGCTTGAAACTCAACATTAAGAAATCTAGGACCATGGCATCCAGTCCTCTCACTTCCTGGCAAAGAGATGGGGAAGAAATGGAGGCAGTGACAAATTTTATTTCCCTGGGCTCCAAGATCACCGGAGATGGGGACTGCAGCCAAGAAATTAAAAGACGCTTGCTCCTGGGGAGGAAAGTGATGGCAAATCTAGACAGCATACTAAAAAGCAGACATCACCCTGCCAACAAAAGTGTGTATAGTCAAGGCTATGGTTTTCCCAGTTGCAATGTATGGCTGTGAAAGCTGGACCCTAAGGAAGGCTGAGCGCCGAAGAACTGAGGCCTTTGAATCGTGGTGCTGGAGGAGACTCCTGTGAGTCCCTTGGACCACAAGCCAATCAAACCGATCAGTCCTAGAGGAGATCAACCCTGACTGCTTTTTTGGAAGGCCAGATACTGAAGATGAAACTCAAAAACCTTGGCCACTGAATGAGAAGGAAGGACTCCCTGGAGAAGAGCCTAATGCTGGGAACAATAGATGGCAAAAGAAGAAGGGGACAGCAGAGGATGAGGTGGCTGGATGGAGTCACTGAAGCAGTGGGTGTGAGCTTGGGTGCACTCCGGGGATGGTGGAGGACAGGAAGGCCTGGAGGAGTGCTGTCCATGGGGTCGCGATGGGTCAGACACGACTTCGCGACTAACAACACAAGATCTGCACTTTAGGGCTGCATCCTTGGACCGGTTAAAGGGTACCTTTAGGGTTTAGGGCCCAGTGAGCCTCATGGTTGTTGAGTGAGAATTCAGACCTGGATCTTCCCCGTCAGAGGCAAACCTCCTCTTCACTGCACTCTTCCCAGGGCGTCTCTGCACAAGGCTCGTCTCACGTGCTCATGACTCCTCTCTCAGTGCCTTGCAGGAACCTTTTCACAGCCTTGTCAGCCTCCAGGGCCTCGCTCCTGTTTTGCTGCTATTCCTGCAGCTCTTTTTAGAGTGAGGAAAATCAGGGAGTCTTTCTTAATCTGCTATTCTGCCACATCACAGCTGCGTGGAATAACCCATTTATGCATTAAGCTCCCCACTGGAACCTGGCTGGTGCCGAATTTGACATCTCTTTGGCACCAGGTTAAGGCGACCCTCTTTTCTGAGGTTTTTAAAGACTTGCTTAGCCACCCAGGGGCTTGGAGGGGGACCACCAGGTGCTTTTGCACTCTTCTTGTCCTTTGTACTGACTGTTTTTTACCCTGTTTTAAGATTTATTAATTTTTTGATGTGTTTGTTGTATTTTTTGTTTTGTTTTTATGGATTGTGTAAGCTGCCCAGAGAGCTTCAAGTGGGGCTGATTTAGAAATTAGAATAGCAGCAGCAGCAGCAGCCACCACCACCACAAATGATAGCACCACCTTGTGGTTCTGTAATGGAATGCATAGACAGAGCAAAAAGAGCATGGGGAGAACCCCCCCCCCCCCCCGCAAAGGAACTGCTCTTAATTCCTGCAAAGAATACAGAAGCAGAAGTCTCGGTAAAGGGGCCAGGTAAGAGCCATACCTAAAAGAAGTCTTAAGAGGCTAGGCTGCCTGTAGGGAAGGCTAGGAAAGCAAGCACGTCCAAAGTATCTACTCTACTCCGAAACCATCTACTCTACTCCGAAAGTGGCAACAAGACCAGCTGGCCTCCTTCGGCCCGCTGGGCAGCCCTGCTGGCACAGCAAAGGGTGCTCCGGCTTGCTGCAATCCGTGTCCAGCAATGGCCCACCCGGCTGAGCCCTCTCCAAGGCAACCGCTCCTCTCTCACTTCGCTCTTTGGAATCCACCTGCAACTCTTTTTACCCACATGGCTGAGGTGTGCACCACCAGGGTGCTGTCAAATGAAGCCACAGCAGAATAAACACTGAATACACAGATCAACAGAAGATGTTCGGGAAGAGCGGCTATGAAGATGCAGACATCTGTTTCTCTCTAAACAGAGCGATCCAACCCTATAATGTTTTCGCTGTTACCTGTTAGTGTTCCATCTGCCATCAGGTCTTGTACTCTATTAATTGCATCCTGTTGAGGGAAAACAAATCAATCAAACAGCAACTCTGCATTTCCAGGTGCCCTGGCGCGCGTTCAGGCAGTGTACCGGCATTTCCGTGCAGGCCTGGAAAGCGTCTGCTCTACCTGAAGGAGCTCGGGAATCTGCCTGATGCTATGGACACAGGTCAGCAAGGCTGCGTACTGTCCACCCTGGGCTTCCCCCGCATGCTGCCCCCCCCGACGACTCCTAGCATGCACATGGGGGAGGATGACAACTATGCTTCAATATATCTGGAAGGCAGCAGGTTGGGGAAGGCTGGCTTGTGCTGGGGGGGGGGGGGCGTTCCATGGTCCCACAGCTCAGAGCCAGGCGCCTCTTGCGTACAGAGCTCATGACCCCCCCCCTCCGGTCTGGCCTGCACGTGCATACCTGTGTCCGTATCCCCAGGTGGGACGCCAGGTCTTCCAGAAGAACGACTTTGGCGCTCTGTGGAGGAAAGGAAAAATCTGAAACGAGCTACGCCAACGCACACACTGGGTAGTTGCCATGAAATGCTTTACTTGACTAACGCAACTCATTTGTCACGGAACTTCACGGGGATGAGCCAACTCTAGAATTGTCTGCTGGACTTCGCTATCATGTAGAATCTGAAGGCTGACCAAAGGGAGCCAAGCACAGAATCTTGATTTGCGGGTGCAGCCCGATGGGAAAAAGGGGCTCAGGCCTGGAACTCGCGAGCCACACACCGAGAGCGCTTGCAAAAACAGGTACAAATCTGAATTAGCGTAGACTATGGATTCTAACACCTTTATTCAGCTGTTCAGCAGCACAGCAATGTACTAAATATACAACTGAGAAGGAAGCGGATTTTGTTTCTATTGTTAAAAAAGACAGCGAGTCAGAAACTTTAGCCAATCCACTGGAAATGATCTAGTGATCTACCAGGAGGTCCCACTTTACCTTCTGCTGACTGCTGATGTAGAACAGGAGTTAGCAGAAGACCGTTCCCTTGGAGATCTATAATAGATCAACAAGGGCATCTGACCTCCAGAGCTGAACAAGCCCAAGTACAAAGGAAAACAAAAAGAATTTCTTGCCACTGCTGGGATTGTGTCCGTCACTCCCAGCCTCTGTGTTCTCACTTGTAAAGCGGCCGTCTTTGACTAGGTCCTTGAGGCCAGGCTTGCTGGCAAACATCAGAGCTGTGTTAGAGTCCCTGGCTTGCATTAACTCAGGTGCAGATTCATCTACACAGTGTACAGCTAAAGAGCTGCTCCACTCCCTTATCCAGTATTTTGCATTCTGCACCCAACAACCACACGTTTTGTACCTGGCTCTGGCCAGCAGACTTTAGGGTTTGATTAAGAAAAAGTATAGATCTGTTGGAGGTATAGATCTGTCCTTCTGGTGTCATGGACAGCAAACTCTTGTTCTATTCTACTTATTTATTGTAAGCCACCACGAGACATTCCGGAAGGGGCGGGATAGAAAAGCTTTTAATAAACAAACAAACACACACACACACAAACAAACAAACTTGATCATAATTAGCAGTACTGGAAACAGCTGCCTGGAATGAGAAGCAGTGCTGTATCAAAAACTTACCTCGCTTTTCTCAACCACCTGCATGCAATCTGATAGAAGAGAGTTTGCCTTTAAATTCAAAGGGAAGACATTCCCCGCTGGGTTGGGGTCAGGTTACGGAGGGGGCAGCCCAGGAGTGTCATGAGTGCCTTGTCCTTCTGCCCTGCAGAATCGCTCCAGCAGCTCCCCACACTTCACGTTAAAGCCCCAGGAAAGGCTTCCTCACCTCCCATGAGGCTTTTTCCACATGCAGGTAAAGCAAGCTCAAGAACACCGCAGAAATACAGATCACCTTAGAATGAGGCAGAGTAATGGGAGCTTTTGCCATGGGAGAAGACGTGTTTCTAGGAATTGGGCAGATTTTAGCTCAGCACTAGCCCCACCTCTTCCACGGAGCTCGACACAGCACTGCTCCCCTCTGTCTCCAGCCTTACATCCTCACCTCCAATCATGCAAGGGGTGGAAGATTTGGCAATGCTTCAGTGTAGGGCCGCAAGGTTGGTGGCCGGTTTGCAGGGGAGGGGGTATGAGGCGAGGCTGAGGGAACTGGGTCTCTTCAGCCTGGAGAAGAGGAGACTCAGGGGGGATCTGTTGGCGACATACAGGTATGTGAGGGGATGTCACACGGAGGTGGGAAGAGACCTGTTCTCCCCTGCAGAGGAGGGCAGGACGCGCTCCAACGGAGCAAAGCTCAGGGAGCCAAGGTTCCATTTGGATGCCAGGAAGCACTTCCTGACAGTCAGGACCCCGAGGGTGTGGAATGGGCTTCCACGGGAGGCGGTTGAGGCCCCATCGGTGCGGGTGTTCAAGGACAGGCTGGACGTGCACATGGTGGGCATGTCATGAGCGGAGCCTGCTGGAGCCGGGGTCAGACTAGATGGCCCGGGAGACCCCTTCTGACTCGCTCTGTTTCTGTGTTTCTATGCAAGAAGCCAATTACGAAGGGGGACCCAAAAAACCCAGGAATTCTCTTCGGAGCGCGGGCCCCTTGTAGTGTAGGTTTTTCCCGCTAGGTGAGTGTTGTAGGCACCCATCTGCATCGGCTGGGGTGTTGCGAGAGGCCGCGTGTGGCTCCAGTGAGCTTTTTTTGGAGACGCTCAACGTCTTTGCTTATTTCGTGACGGCTGATTTACATGAACAATGTGCGGTGGTGAAATTTCATTCAGCTGAATGTTCAGTAGTTTTTGACCAAAAACGGCATGACCCTCGCAGCTTGCCCTGTGCTACTTTTTGTTTTTCCCCTGGATGAAAAAAGCCCTCAAAGGGAAACGTTTTGCAGATGTGGAAGAGATGAAACAAAAAATGGCACTAAAAGGCATCAAAATCGATGAGTTCAAAACCTGTTTTGAGCAGTGGAAAAATGTCCTGATAGGTGTATTGCATCAAACAGTGTGTACTTTGAAGGTAACTGAAGTTGGAACATGTAAAAATAAATACACAATTTTAAATAATAATTGATTTTTTTGGGTACCCCTTCATATATGGATATCTGGCCTGCCCTTGTCAAACACGGTTTAACATATTTTTCCCAGCTGCATTTCTGTATACACATGCTCATGTACTTCACATCTATTAACTCAACTGAATAAATCCAGATCTTTGTACTTACAGTCTATTTTTGCTTTAATTCTATTATTTATTCAGTTTATAACCCATGTTTCCTGCCAAGGAACACATGTTGCTTACATAATTCTCCTCCTGCTCTCAATCTTACCCACACAACAACCCTGTGAGGTAGGTTGGGCTGTGAGTCTGTGACTGGCCCCAAGTCCCCCAGTGAGCTCCAGGGATGAATGAGGACTGGAACCCAGAGCTACCAGATCCCCAGTCCAACAGGCTAACCACTAGACAACACTGCCTCTCCCGCCTCAGGTCTGTGGGCATCCCTGAGCAGGGCTCTTGATGGGCCACAACAAGGCACTGCGTGGCCAACACCTGAGAGCTGGGCCAGCAGCCGCGAGCATGTGGCAGCCTGACCAGGGGACCCTCTCCTTCCAAATTAGCTCTCAGCCACAACTTGGAATGGAAGTGAAACAAGAAGGGCTTCTCTCTCGCACACGGGAAACAGTACGAACACACGCCGTGCCGCCGGCAAGAGCAGCTGTTCTCGTACTTGAAAGCCCTGGGATTTTATTGCATTTCTGTTGTCTGTTTTTATGAATTTTTGCAAGCTACCCAGAGAGCTTTGGCTGTGGGGTGCTACAGAAATGCAGATGATGATGATGACGACGATGGTGGGGGGGGGGGTGGCGGGCTGTGCGGGCCAAGCTGGAATGGTGTGTCCGTTTGACTCTGTATGTGCAGGAGTGGAGGGTCTGGGGCTAAAAATGGCTTGGAGGCCAAGCCATGGCTCAAATATGGCTCTCTGGACTTGAAAAATGTAGTAACTGACAGCTTAAAAATGCAGTGTGGAAACTGGGGGTGTCTCTAACCTCCAGGGACAACGGAGAGGCCCAGCTCTAGCAGGGTTCCAGCTCTCCCGCTCTTGTTTACATCAAGGAATTTTCTGAAGAGTTTTACTAGTTTGAGGCTTTTGCTTCTCAGTCCTGTCACTGCAGGTCAGATTTCCAGGTTTTAGTGTCACACGAGGGGATAGATGCAATTTTATGCAAATATAAGAACAGCCCTCTAGGATTGGATGGAATCGTCTGTGCTGTCCTGTCTTTTCTTTCTGCAAGCTGATATGCAAAGGAATAGAGTCCCTGAATGCGGCAGGTCCATCTAGTTACCACTGTCAACAGCCAAAGTTAAAGCTAACAATGTCCAAAGGAGCCATCCTGTGCATATTTAGATAGGAAAGGGTTGTACAATTCCCAGCACTCCTCATCCACATGTCAAAAGCATGGCCTTAGAACGCGATCCCACGCTGGCTTCAACAGAAAAATGTCTTACATTTGATAGGGCTTTTCCCCATCTAAACATGCACAGATTATGTCTTAATTCTTTTTAAACTTCACCCAAACTGGTAGCTGTAAGCATTTGTCCCAGCAGCGAGTGCCAGAAATCGGTGGTGTATTTTCTTTCACTGATTATCCTTATACATGTTTTTCTTCATGAATCTCTGCCACCTCTCCTGAACCCCAAGTGCAAAGCTGACTCTTCAAACACCGGTTTTCGTACCCTGGTAAAAGCAGCACTTTTTACAAAGGAAGAAACAAATGACAGAACAGGGAAATAAATTGTTCAGCAGCTCATTAGACAGCCTCCAATCCCATGCATCCCTTAGTTATGAAGTCTGGTGCAGCCAAGCTAGAGAACTGAGTATTATGGACTGAACGTATTGAACTGGCACCAGTCCATGAAAACCAGTTCTCAGAGCTTGGAACTGCCAGGGTCCTGCATCTTCGTTTGAACGGATTTGGGGACAAGCATAAAGGGCAGGGCAAACCTACGGTCTTGTTACACCGGGAAGCAGCTTGGCTAGGACTAACCCCAACAGACAGCCGAAAAGTCACTGGCAACAAGCGAGGAAACAGAGACGCAGCATCGCTGCAAGTCGCTCACTCATCAGGATGCAACACGCTGATAACAGACCCCTGGAACCGTGGACTGGGAAAGCAGCGTTCCACACAAGGCAGTGGCTTTAGCACCGTTATACTTCCTCAGTCCAGGAGCCAGAGTGGATTTGCAGTGTGTAGAAAGACTCCCTTGGACAGAGGAAAAATGACAGGATTTAAAAAACCGAATGATACTTCCTCAAGACAAAGTTATATTAAGTACCTCCACGGGTCGTGCAACAACTGATCACAAAAATTCAGGGTTTTCTATTCTCACCCCACCCCACGGTTACATGCTTGAGGTGAGCTATTTGTTAGCAAAAATGGTGCAAAAGTTAAGGTCTTTGCTTCTCATTTGGGCAGCGTGGGAGGGACTGTTTGAAGGTTTAAACAGGGTGAATCAAGGTTTCAAGTCTGCCTTGAAAGCAGCCTTAAAGGTTTGCATGACCTTTATCTTGTAAAAGGTGCTTTGAGAGGGTGGAAAAAATACACACATGCAGATGTGGAAAGCCTGAAGTACAGTTTGATTTGCCATTGAAAGAGAGCCTGATTGGTGGCGAACTGGGACTCCTGTCTTCCTGTTAAGCGTCTCTGCTTGTCCGCCTCTTTTCCCCCAATTGCATCTGCTTAACCCCGAAATAAGTAGCCGCTAATACAAAGTGACTAAAAACAAAACTGTTTTTCAACTGAGTCTCTCTGTCTCAGAGAAACACACACACACGGTATATCCAAGCAGAAACTTCTACAAAGAGGGAACTAGGCGTTGTTTTCCTGCCATCAGGTAAGTTCAGCTTCCCCACGGGCTTCCTTTCCAAATTGCACACACTCAGTTTCAAATGCAGCACTGATTTCCTCTTTTTTCATTGCCCTTTCCATCTCTCTACACGTCTCCCAAGCACATCATAGCAATACAGCTAATTTCACATTATATGCTTAATTAAGCACTCGTCTAGCACTTTAATTATTTGGGTTTGTTTTGGAAAAAGGCCCACTTGGATTTCTTAAGCTTGGAAAAAGACTGTCCTGGAAGGACTGGGGGTGGGATTCGACTGTGCCTGTCACAACAGCTGGCCAATCAGTTCACCCCGTAGCTCCTGCAGGTACAAGCAGGTAACACTCGTTTAGACCCCGTTATTACTGGAAACCATGAATGGGGCTGAAGAGCTACAGCGGCACACGGTTCCTGCTTGCAAATATCTGTTATTGGGAAATAAAGATGATGCACAGGGTCTCAATCCAGAAAGGAATACTGAAGTGGAGTATCTTGCTCTACCCCATCGAAGCATCGCTTCATTGTTATCCATCTCAGAAAGGCCAATGGCTCTCAGGTTACATTTTAATTCAGAAAAAGCAGATGCTTTGAGTATGTTAGGATGCCACAACGACTGCTTCTCTCATTCATAGGTTGGTGCCCAGTGGCTGCTTCTTTGCAGGGAGGAGGTTACAATCTGGATAAACTTTGTGGCAGATGCGCACACGCTTTTTAACTATCTACTCATCTCTTGAAACATAATGCAAGGACAACGAAAATGGATTCTCCATGCCCTCTTGTCAGCTAAAAAGACAAATATTACAACATGGGAAGGACATAGGGTCACCCCTGAAGACACAGCGGGTTAAGCATGATTAATGAATGAACGAATACATGGGTATATGGCTGCTTAACAATCTCTGACAATGACAGTGCATTTTGCTATGTACAAAATAGGTCGGGTTACATGCCATATGCATTCATTGTAATAGTTTCATGTATGTTTCATCTAATAAAAGTGTAACACTTTATTTTCTAAATTTTGATTCTTTGCTTTTGTTTTTCAAAATTCACAATTTGAATTAATAGGGAAAAAAGGTACACCTGGATGCACTCAGCTTCTCTTCCCAACTTTTTCTCCAGGGAAGCCACCGGCCTTATCTAGGCTCCATTTCTTGCTATTTCCAGCTCTTGAATCCCAGAACCTGGATATACTGAACCTCAGGCTGCCAAGTTCGGCACTGAGCGTATGCTCTACAGCTGTGATTTCAACTCGAAAGGTTTGTAGGCTACAGATCTTGATCCCAGTTGTGCTGCTGGACAGGAACTGGGATGCTGAAGTGCAGCACCTCATGCAACACCTTTTCAACGCCCTCAAGAGCAACCAAGCTGACGAGTGAATGCAGACACTCTATTCAACTGGTGCAGCACAAATACCCTCATGTGCATGGCATCTCTTGGAATTTCAGCAAGATGCTTGGACTGTCAAAGAATCAAACTGTAGCATCCAAGGATTATCACCATCACCATCATCATCCTCATTATTATTAAAAACAGATTCTAGGGAGAAAGTAAAATATGGGAGAACAACATACCTTGATGTACTCGAGAAGTTCCGTTAAGAAGCTACGTGACTAGGCACAGCAAGAGAAAAAAAGGTTAATTTAAAAGAGAAAGTAGAACAGTAAACTGCAATTCTGAAAACAAACAGATTAGGGAATCTGGTCTTAAATCTAGTCACTATTCAAAGGATATGTTATAAGAATACTAGAAGATTCTTAAATTTTAGAATACTCTGCCCTCGGTCAGCCATGATTAGGGGTTTCCAGGAAAGTAGGGAAGACAAGATGGAAAAGCTTTTGGCAAAGTTTTTAGAAATTTTGGAAAAACTTCCACCCACCCACCAGTTTCTTACGGATTTTTCTGTAGTGGCTTAAGAACATTCCCACCACCTCTGTGAGCCACGCAAAACAAGTTCGGGTTGCTCCTTCAACATGTCTTGAAATTGGCCCAAGTGATTCTTGGATCAGATTTGCAAGAAAATGACCTACATTTAGAGAGCTGTACATGTATGAAAAGCTTGACCTTGCAGCTAATTTCCAGACCCCCTGTGCAGTACCATCTTGGTTTGCTTCTTTGAACCTCTTCTCAAAAGCCATCCCTTCCATATTGAAGCATAGTATAAACTCTATATGATCATCATCTTCTTACATTCTCTCTTCTCTCCTCCCCTGTAGTGAAATTTAGATTGTAAGATCTCTGGGGCAGAGACATTTTCTGTGAGCATATGTTGCTTGAAAAACACCCTTCCATAAAATATGTACGGAAATCAGCACTGTAACCTGGAAAGATTGGGATTTTGCAATGCTTATGCAATCAACTGCATTTTTAATGCAATAATAAAATATTTACCAATTCAAAATTATTTCTAGGCCACCTTTAATGGGAAGAATGTTTTTGAGGTGTGAGATTTGGTAAGACAAACAACAAAGTAATTTAAAAATATATTCAGAGCTCAACATTTTGCCTCTGCTCTCATCATAAGCTGTGTCACTGAATGGCTGCCAAAAATAGTAGATTGGTGCAAGTGCACATACATGCATGAATTTGTTTTATATTTTTAATGTATTATATTTTAATTTATGTTGTGAGCCGCCCCGAGGCTTCGGCAAATGGGGCAGCATAGAAATGTTTTGAATGAATGAATGAATGCACACGCGTGCGTGCGCGCGCACACACACCCCAGCAAAGCCTGATAGTCACCTGTAAAAATTATTAATAAATAAATAAATAAGTGTATTCTGCAGTAAACACAAATCAAAAAGATACCAGCCTGGATTCCATATTGCTCACTATTAATTTGGATCAGAATCTGGAAGACCAATATGTCTGTCAGAGTTATCATATACTGGTCTATTGAAAAGCAAGTCTCAGAGAAACCCTTAGCACAACTGGACTTGCTTCTGAGTAGATAATGTACCTGATGAGATTATAAGTGCCAAAACTGTGACAGCAATCATGCTTTTGGGGGGTGGGTTGGTTGTGTGATCAATGGGACTCGCATAAGTATTTAAAAATATTGGCAAAAACATCATGGATCATCTACAGAACAGAAGATGCAGCATTCCTCTCAATTCTAACATTTACTCTCGAGATTCCAGCAATGGCACTTTTGAGCCAACCCCCATGCAGTAAAAATTTGCTAAATACAGAAATCTTCAAAGATGCCAAGCACATCTTACAGGCTACCCGCAACACAGCGGGGCATCCTCTCTGTTGAAAAAAATAGCTCCTTTTAATTTGCTGCAGAGGACTTCATAGCAGTGGGAATTTTGCTCTCATGTGGTCAGGCTTCTTAGACTTCTGGAATCAGAAATACGACAACAACATAGGCTCTCATTACATGCCTCCTATTTTAGGAGTAGCTTTATAAAGATATGAATAGCTGATGAGTAAAGAAAAGCCCCTTGACCACGCAGTAAAAAGTGTGTAGGATTGAAGCGATGTTGATACAGAAAGTGACTGTGGAAGATTTTCACGGCTTCTTGAGGGCGCTTTGCTCTTTTATGTGGGAAGGCACTTCTCTCTCAGTGCGTTCTGCAGGTGCTACACCCAAGGCCAGGATTCGGCCTGCAATCTTAACAGCCCACAACCACCGACATAAAAGAGGACCTGGCTACCTGACGCTCTCTATTCAACGGTAATGTCTCCCGAATAACTGTGGATGTTGAATTGTTGATGTTTTGTGCTTCTGCTTTTCTACATGCCTAAACAGAAGTTAGGCATCTGAGCAGTCAAAGAAAAGATTGGGTCTACTGGCTTGTCAAATAGCGGTAAAGTATTATTGCAGATTAACCTTATGCGAGCAAAGAGGATAATCATCAGCAGGTTTGATACTCCCACTAATTAAAAACAAGGAGCTGTTACAATGAAATAACAACATCAACAGACAATCCTGTGGTTTGCAAGTGGCATTGAGAGGCCTCGAGGTACGATGCCCCGACCTCAGGTCTGAGAACTGAAGGTCTGTCCCCGTGTAGTTGGTGCAGAAGAACGGCGCCGGCTGCTCTCCGAGGTTGGGAAAGCGACCGCAGAGGTGGAAGAGGAGGAGACGCGGAAGGGTGAGATGCGGCTCATCTTGACCCCTTTCCAGCTTCCTTGCCTCCCACTCGGAATCGCTCCAGCCAAGCAGCCCAGCTCCCAAAATACGCAGGACAGGAGGCTGGGCGGGCGAAGACTGGCTCCAGCCGTGTGCAAATGCAGCTATGCAAACTCAGGCATCGCAACAGGATTACGCTGCAACGTATTTTATAGCATCCTTCCCCAAAGGAGGGCCGAGAAGTCTACACACGCTGCCCCTCCACTTCAGGCTTATAACAACTTGTGTTTCCCTGGGCCCTTGTCCAAAACTCCACTCCCTGTACCAGTAGCAGGAGCTCTGCGCTCGTCCAGAAGTTGTGGGACTCCAGCGGTCGCTAATGGCCAGCGACAACAGAAGCTGTTTTCCAACAACTTCCAGAAGGACCCAGTTTCCTCTGGGAGAAAATGCTGCCACGTTTCCTGCAGACTGTGGCAAGAACAGGCAGTAAGGAGTCACGACTTCTGACCTTGCTCGCCAAGAAAACCATGAGGAAATACACAGGGCAAGCTGCCACTGAGGCGGAGGAATTCTTGGAGCATCCAACTGTGGTCCAATAATAGCTGTCCATTCAATTAGCAATGCTAATTAGCTAATTAGCTTCACCTTTCTTCTACTAGGGCATGTTGCAAATTGCTCCGAGTCAATCCGATGAAACCAAGTCCTGCAGCTAGACTGTCTGCCTCCCCCAATTCCTGGCCTCCCCACTTTTTGGCCCCGTTTCCCCGAGAGATGAACCCTCCCACTTCCAGTATCCATAACTTCTATGCTGGGAAGCCCTTCCCCAACCAGCCAGGCAGCCCCTACCTCATCTTCCGTCATGGCCTCCTCCACCCCTTCTTCTTCCACCACGAAGCTCTCCTTCAGCTTGAGATATTCCTCGTATTCCCGCTGCTCTTCCTCTTCTTTGGCCTTCTTCTTTGCTTCTTCCTGCAAGAGTGGGAAGTGGGGAGGGTGTGACAGGAGAAAATGGAGTCATCTGATTGACATGCACTGCTCAGAGAGCTCGGGCTAGTAGGTCATACGAACATGAAATAAATAACAGGCAAATGGGTAGCCGCTAAATAAATTGCGTGTGATCTCTATCCTTCCCTCATTTGTGAGAGTCTGCTTTGAAACAGGGGTGTAGAATTGCAAGCCGAGAAGACTGATGGGGCTGCAATTTTGCAATGGCTGAGCCCTCTCCCTGGCTTAGCCTGCACTCCTTAACCAGCAATTAGTTGTGTGGCTATTCCAGCTTTTGGGCAGCTTCTCCCTCCATTCTAAAATGATTAAGTTACTGGCCGAAATGACTTTAAGCAAAAATATGCTGCTATTTTTGAATCTGCTCTTTTTTGCTTTTAGTTCTGCCCAACAGTTGGAAACTGGTCCCTGGAGGCGATTCCAAAATGGAACCATGCATTCCTTGGGTGGGAGGTGCTTCAGCACCCCTTATAAAACTACAGATCTGCCAGTGACTGAACCCCCACCCCAATTCCACACCAGCGTAAAAAAACAGAACTCAAACAAGCTTTGCTGCAGGTTTGGCAGTGACTTCCACCCCTTCCCCAGCCCCCGAAGGAAGACCGATGTCCAGAATTCAACAAGCTTCAATTCAGAGTGTGGGTTTTGCATACAGAAGGTCTCGGCTGCACCATCTCCAGGTTGAGCCATGCCTAGTACAGAGAGCAACAGGGTGTATCCTTAGCCTCAACCACCTCACAAAACAGACTTTTGACCGTGCTATCGCAGTTCCTGCTTACCTTGCCATCAGCCCTGCACTTCAACAAGCAGAAGAGGCAAGCCGGGAGGACGCGCCTCTGATGAGCTGCCTCTCAAGCAACCCCGTTACCAGAATTGCTAACCAGAAAGGAAGCCAAAGCTCGCAGTGTGTGTTGGCATTTGCGGAAGACAAGCACGCTGGTCTTATAGAGCAAAACATTTACCAATTTGCATAAGCCGGTCTCTAACGTACCCCAGAGAATAGGAAGTCCCTGCCCCTCGCGCCAAGCCATCTCTTTGCAGCTGTTAGACTCAGCCCTGTCTTTACTCAGATCAGGAGTGAATTTCTGAAATCCACAAAGAAGCAATCGCCATCCAGTCCCTAGTGTGATGCTAGTATGACTTATCAGGTGTGATTTATCTAGGAAATGCATCCCCACAAAATGTCGCGATTGCCTGCACAGATGGCTTTCAAGAACTAGGGAAAGCCCTGCGGGATCAGACCACCTAGCCCAGCATGCTGGTCATCCAGCAGCCAACCAGCTGTCCATGGGAAATCCGCAAGCAAGGCCTGGCCACAACAGAACCTTCTTGCCCATGTTGCCCACCTGCAACTGGCGTGCCTAGGTGTCCTGCCTCCGGATGCTGGAGGCAGCACTTAGCCATCCGGACCAGCATCCATGGGTCGCCTTCTCTCCGGGAATTGGTCCAATCCCCTTTTAAAGCCATCCTGATTGGTGGCCCATTCCTGCATCTTCTGGAAGTGAATTCCACAGTTCAGTTGTGGGATCTGTCCTGAATTTCCCACCAAACAGCTTCATGGGTGACCATGCTGAGCTCTAGCATTGTGTGTGTGATTGTGTGTGTGTGTGTGTGTGTGTGTGTGTGTGTGTGTGTGTGTGTGAGAGAGAGAGAGAGAGAGAGAGAGACAGACAGACAGACAGACAGACAGACAGACAGACAGAGACACAGAGGGAGGGAGATTTATTTGCCCTTCTCTGCCGTTTTTCTTTGCCGTTTTCTACAGCATCCTTTTTAGCTGCAGGGCCCACAACTACACACAGTGTCCTAAGAGCTGTTGCACATGGAGTTCGACACGGGCAGTTTTATTTTCAGTTCCTTTCCTGATGACGCTGAATTTGGAACTTGCCTTTTCACAGCCGGATCGGCATTTTCACTGAGCTGTCATGGCAACCCCAAAAGTTTCTTGATCCCATCAGCCTAGACCTGAAGTTGGGATTTTCTGCCCCAATTTTTCTACACTGCTTTACACTTGCTCACACTGAATCCAAAGTGCATGCTCCCAGCCTGCCCATATTTCCAGTTTGGAGAGGACCTTTGAGAACTCCTCACAATCCCTTTCCATTTTAACCACCTGGAATAATTTGGTTTCCTCTTCAGATCCGTCTATTTCACAGATCACTCTCAATTCCAGATCTTTCAGGAGTGAGGTGGAAAGGACTCGTCGCGGGACAGATTCCCATGGGACCCTCCTGCTCCACAAGCGCTTGCTGCTTATTCCTCTTCGCCGCTTTTAACAGAAAGCAAGAGCCTCTCTCCTTCCATTCCACGACTGCCACATTTGTGCAGGGGCCCTTTGGAGAGGGCCTTTTGCCCAAAAGCCCTTTGGACATCCAGGTAAACTACGTTAAGTTGCTGCAGAGTCTTTTCCAGAATGTGAGTGTGTCTTTCATGGGTCTGGTGAAAATCTGTTGTGCCATTTGAAACTTACCCAGGTTTTCTCCAGATCCACAGAAGGCACATTTAGATCCGGGAATTTATTTGCAAGGCTGGGCTGCACAGTGCCTGTGTCCACCTCCCCGTCGGGCTTAGTGGAGAAAGGCGGTCAGCTCAGTTGCCATGCCGGTGTCTGCGCCTTGCTTCATCCCGGTGGGAGCACGGAAATCGACCCCGGTGGGGGCTGGATACTTAGGCACGTGTCCCCTGAGACAGATTCCTGACCTGAAAGTTGACAGGATCACTTTTCCCCACATGGTCCTAGGAACACAGAACGAAGAAGCACATCCCGATGCACACAGAGCTCTGCCACGGGTGTTCACCGAGCAAAGAAAGCATGCGCTCTTAAAGAGGACTTCCCACCCAGCTTGGAGAGGAACCCAAGAGTAAGTGGGGACTTCGAGAGAGACCTGCTGGATCAGAGCACGGGTCCACCTAGGCTAGCATTCTACCCACACACGAGCCACCCAGCCGTCCAGGGGATACAAGTGCAACTGCCCAGGTCCCCCGGCAACTGGGCCCCGGAGGTGTCACGGAGCCGTCGAAACTCATTATTGACGGACTTTTCTCTGAGCGTTGCTCCAACCCCTTTCAGAACTGCCCAACTTGGGGGTTGTCGCTCCGTCTTCTAGAAGTGAATTCCCTAGTTTAATTATGTGGTCTGGAAGAAATCCTTCCTTTCATAAATCTGTCTTGAATTTCCCACCAATCATGGGATGGCCCTACTGGGTTTTCGGATTAGGAAAGAGGGGGGGAAAAGGTCTCCTTTCCCACTTTCTCCACAGCACTTTGTACTCTCTGATCATGTCTCCCCTTACTCACCCCTTTTCTGAGCTAAACAGTGCCAGATGCTGTCACCTTTCCTCTTAGGGCAACTTGGCTAGAATGGTGCCTACTTTCAGTGCTGTCCTCAACTGTAAAGGAAGAGGACTGAGGATGAACAGCCAAGAAAAGGCACGGGAAGATCAGGTCTAGGCACAGAATGCAAGCCTATAAAATGGCTTACATGGCATGCAAGTTACGGCAGAACCCTCCACTTATATTTATTTATTTACTGGATTTATATCCCGCTTTTTCCAATGAGCTCAAAACAGCTTACATAATTCTCCTCCTCCTGTTTCCAGGGGTGGTGTGGAGGGAGCAGTGTGAGCACCTGAGCGTTGTTCTTCGATGGAAAGCCATATTCACATGTCCTGCTCTCGAGCGAGTCGCTGCAATGGAGCAACTGTGTAATGCGAAGGAAGCAGCGTGCATTGGAAGGCAGGATTTCTGACAGCACATCTGCACAGACCCCTTGCAAAGAAACGTTGCTCTGAAATGTGAGACATTTGCTCTCGCTGATCAAGTATCTGTGGTAAACCATTTCCTCCACTGAAAAAACTCCACGGGCGAGAGGGAAATTCCCAGGGCTATGAGAGGCGGCGGCAAACAGCCCTTTGCAGGGCTGGCGCATCGATTGGGGGTTTTGAGAGGAAACAAGCTCCATTAGAGATGTAGGTTTGAGTTTCCAAGGCCAGAAGCAGTGGGGACACTTGCCTGGGGCTCCCTCCCCCAACACGAGGACCAAGAAAATGCCCTGTTGGTGCCCGGGACAACACAGACTCACCCTACAAATATGTACAAAGCCCTGACCACCCCACCCACACAATGACAACCACGTGTTCCTAAACTGCCCTCGTAGGGCTGCCAGTGTGGAATGGTTTGGAGAGATGAGCCTGGCTCAGCTTTCTTTTTTAAAGAATGCATATATGCAGATCCATTGGGGAAAAACCCCCACAAAATATAAAAGATAAGTCCCTCTGGATTCTATGGGATTGTCTTGTAGGTTTGCAGGTCTTGGAAGTGTCAGCGAGGCAATATTTCAGACCGGGAGAGGGAGGTCCTTAGCAGACAGATACTGCATTTCAGAGCCGTGAAAAAGCAAAGCAACCCCACTCACAAGGTCACTCTGCTAGAGCAAGAACCGCCTCTGCAGGGGAGACAGAGCCCCCCAAAACCGCCCAGACCTGCCTCATGAAAAATTATACTGATCTTCCTTGGTGATGCTCCATCTTCCCTGTTTCATACCTCAATATATTTCTGCCTCATGCATAACTTTTGCTCTTCCAACTCCACCCACCTCAGCTTTCTCAAAATCTCCTGATCCAACAAATGTCTTCCTTTTTAATCTCTCTTTGTCCCCGATTCCAGGAGTTCCTTCCCGGAACAACTGCATCACCTATCCCCAACCTTGCCTACCCCAGCCTCCATTATCCCCAGCCAGCAAGTCCACTTGGTCTCATACAGCACCAAACTGGAGAAGGACAACCTATGAGGATTGACCTCTTCTTTCTTTTAAGCCCAGCTCTCCAAGACCCCGCCTTTTCCATGAAGTTCTAGGCTTAACTCCTTAGTCCTTATTCTCTATGGAAAGGATTTTAAAGGCCTAAATATATTTGTTTGGTTGATATTTGACACACCCTGAATTAATTTGCACTTTGCAGACTAATACACAAAATAGAATGCAACTATTCTTGAATTTTTGCACTTCTTTGTATCTTGGGCCTTAGTTCTCCAATCAAAAATGCATTCAAAAAGACATATATTAGGAGAAGGACACACAAGAAATGCATGAATTTTTGTGTGGACTTCTTCCTAAAAAATCATAAATTTATGCAGAAATGGGAAGGAACAAAATGTTGCTTCAAAGAGTTAGAAACTTGTAGGAACCCCAACAGACAAATTCATTCATCCCCAGTTATAAAAAGAAAATATTCTGTGTCTTGAATATTTTGACCTGGAAAATATCCTTCTCTGGCAATGAGATCTCACTGCTGTTGTCTCTTCTTTTCTAGGACTTCCCCACCATAATTTTAATAAAACTCCCCTTACTCGGTTAAATACCAAGATGTTCACTACTATTGCTCATCTATGGCTTAACCAATTATTAAAAACAGGCAAGTGAAAAGTCTTCAATGTGTAGCTCAAATTACGCTGAAATCCATTTTTCTTTTAATTTTCCACTCACTAGCCTCACCCTCCACTATTCAGAAAGTGGCAAAAGCAACTTCTGCAGAAATTAACGAAGAGATGAGAGTTAGAAACGACTTTGTTTTGCTTAGAACCTGACCCTATTTTTGTTTCTTCTGAGGAAGAGAAGGAGATGCCTTTTAAAATTCTACAAAGAGCAGCAAGATGTAAACCGGGGCAGGAGCAACCCCTCCAACAACTTGGTTGGAAACAGGCAGTTCCTGCTGCCTGAAGCAGCAACTTAGGCCAGACAATCAGGGTTGCTGGGTGAAGCGATTCTTCACTATATGCCTTATTTGATGCAACTTGCTTCCTCCCAAATCAGCCATCCAAATGCATCAAATTCTGCCCACAGAGGAGCATCTCTGGATGGTCTTGGAAAGACCCCCTTGCCTGAGGCCTCGAAGATCACCTGTCACCTGCAGAGGAGGCAGCTGGGCGAAAGGACCAACCACTGGTCTCCATCCACAGCCACTTCATGGGATTACATCGGCCCCTGCGGATACTCTTGCCTCCTGCACATTGCATTTCAGGCATGAATTAAGGTATGGAAATGGGGCGGGGGGGGGGCAGCTGGCCTAGTGCCACTTCAAATGGGGTCGAGATGACGACTGCGCAGGGGCCACTGGAATATTTGCAGCTTCCAGCGGCTCTCCAAAACAAGCACCGGCCAACCTGTGACTGCTTAGCCAGGCTGTTGTTGTGGGCATCTCTGGACCAGGGCACGAGCCTCACACGGACGTTTTCTAGCCTGTGCTGAATACTGGCCTTTCGGCCTGGGCTGGAGAACCTCCAATCTGCAGGCTGGATGTGGCCCGTGGGGCTCTCCATTCCCCCCACCCTGCCCCTGTGTGGAAGTGGAGCAGAAGGGAGGGGGCATGGGATAGGGCAGGGGAGCATCGTCCTGCGTGCGGCGACCGATCTAAGAACTGCCCACACAGCTCCCCTGCAGAAACTGCAGCATGTGAAAGGTCCGAGAGGCACTGGAATCCAACAATATCTGGATAGCCATAAGTTGCCCAGCCCCGTTTAGAAGCCCAAGTGCACTGGGGGCTGGCGGAGGGGGTGGGGGGAGAGAGGGAGAGGTGGCTGAGATAAAGAAGTGAATGATGGGTTGGGCAGTGAGCGTGGGGGTGGGTGAGGAAGAGCGAGGATGATGGCTGGGTGGCTGCAGCCCCATCTGCCACAGGCACGACACCCCCTAAAAGTTTCCTAGGAGGGAATCAAAGACCACGGGCTGAAAAGAGCCCCTCCCTGTTCGAGCCCAGTGGCAAAGCTCACCTCTTTCTCCTCCTCCTGGCGCAGCCGCTCTTCCTCTTTGTGCCGCTCTTCCTCTCGCTTCTGCTCAAGCTTCTTTCGTTCTTCCCGCTCTGCTTCATCAGCCTTCGGAAATTTGGGGGAGTGGGGGGAGAGAGAAGCCAAAATTATTCTTCAGAAGTTCTTGTGCTTAAAAATAGGGGGAAAAATTCACTAACCCTGTTGTTTTGTTGTTTTGCAAGCTGGCTTTCCAACACCCAGGAGTTTCAGAACTAAATGCACATTAGTAAGTGCTTCAAAATACTTTCCCATCTAAACATAGAAACACACACAGTTGCAAAGCAACCCCGATCCTGCATGCAGCTGCACGTACAAATATATAACAGCCCGCTCTTCAGCCCAGTGTGGAAAGGACCAGAAGCTTGCAAAATTTTGGAAGAGAAAACGCTTGGAGAACTCTTTCATCCAAGTTAGGCAGAGAGAAATTGGAAGCCATGGAGAAACCAGGCCGGGGAGACGGCAATACACGAGATGCCTGCCTTGGCCCAGAGCTCCTTGCCTGCCGGCGCTGAGACGTCTGGCTTGCCCTGGTGCCTCCGCGCTTGTTGCTTCCTTCCATGGGTCCCCGTTGGCAGCTGTCAGAGGGACAGGAGGGCTGCAGAGGGCTGCTGAGCATATGGAAATGTCCAGGAAAATCCACTGAAGTGCAGTACGTAATCTGCTTTAACACAGTAGCGACTGGAATAAAGCAGAGTAACTGCTGAGCTTCGACGTATTTGTGCAAATCTCAAAAGTTTAAATAAATTAAGGCAAGTTTGCACAAGTCTCCCCAAAGGTGGGAAAATACACACCAATCTACCAGAAGGTGAAAAAATAGGATTAAATTTGAAAACATCTCCTTGAAGGAGAAAAAAACCAAATCAACTTGAACAAGTGTCCATTCTACTCAATGTGAAGATGGAAAAGAGTATGTTAAATTTGTGTAAATCTTCCCAAAGGTGGGGAAAGAATCGTGTTGTTTTTTGCGAAAGTGACAACGTGGAGGAGGAGACTGGAGATGGTGCGTGGTCAGTGAAGTCACGTGGAGGGGCCAGTGGGGCTTTCCCACCACTCCTGCTTAGCAGCCCCCTTGCCACTTTAAACAGCCCATGCCGAAGCAACTCTGCTGGGTTCAAACATCACAACGAGCCACCCTCCTACAAACCATGGGTTCTCAGCATGGCTTGTCCATGAAGGAAAAGCTGTGGTGGGTTTTGACATCGCGCTAAGCCTCTGCTACACCAACCCACTGTGCCGTGGCTTGATGCGTGACCCAGGTCAGCGCGAGAATGACCTCATTCAGGTGACACGACAACCCACCATGGCTGATTGGCATGCCGGCCAAACTCAGTCCCGTTTACCTATGGTGGCTTGTTTTGGTTTTTTAAACAAAATGCATTGTTGCATTGTCTGAACCTAGACCAGGGATCTCACTGTGGATAAGCCCAGCAGCCAGAGACTTGCTGGTCCCAGGCAGCAGAAACACCTTGCCACTTGCCCTGAGTGCCACACTGGCACAGCCAGACACCTCACTGATGCACAAACAGCCCTCTGGGGGCCACTGACATGGCCTATGAACCCCGAAGACGCAAGCAGAAGCTGCCTGGGACTGACTGCAACTTTCTGCATTTTTAACTTGCTTTTTTCTGGAGACTGTGAAAGCAAGCTGTCATTTGCCCCAGACTAAAACCGCCCCCTACTCTGCCAAAATGGCCTTTTCAAGCAGACCCAGAGTCCTGACAGCCAGCTGCCAAGAGGCCCTTTCCCCAGAAAAGGCTGGATGGGGGGAAAGCACTTTTAAACTTTCCCGAGACATCGTTGGTGAGCACCAGGTCTCAGGAAAAAGTGATCAGGAAATGTGATCACTCACATCTTCAATATCCGGAGACTCTTAGCAGCAACGTCCACTTGCCAGCTGCACTTTAGCTTCTTTAGCTGCTTCCCTCCTGGTCCTGACCCAGCAAGGCTTCAAATCCCAGACTCGTGGAACTATGCACCTCAGCAGCTGAGCAAGTGCATCTCATTTAAAAAAAAAAGTTATACTTTTTATTTCAGGGATCCAAATAGATTCCCGCCCCCTTTTTGCTTTCCCCTGACAGCCGGCAAAAAGTGACCCGGCTCACAAAAAGGGTGTGCTGTAATTTACACTCTGTTTGGGGTGCTGCCCACCACTGGGAGCCCCCTGGGCCCTTTGAGAGGGCTACCAGCAGCTATCCAAGAGGAACTGTGAAAGCTGGATTGTGTGATGTCCAAAAATGAAGAAGTTTAAAATGTAAAAAGCCACGGGGAGCTGAAAATGGCTCTTAATTATGGCAGGAAGAAAGAGATGACTTGGTGTTGCAGCGGAGTCCCCTGAGATACTGCCCGGAGGGGCAAGCAGGAAGGAGGGGGATGCAGCAAGCCATCTGTGGCCAGCCTGCCCTTCTGTAGGGCACGCTGAAGGTTAGTTACAAAACAACCCATTCATGGTGGCTTACTGCCAGGGAGGCTTGCCATGACCCGCGTATCCACCCAGAGAGGGCGGGCACAGCTGGAGCCTGGATAACCCACTGCATCTTTGAGCAGCCAGCTGAGCAGCAGGTTAAAGGAAAGAAGTTGAAAATAGAGCCCACAAACGGCATTATTTGGACTAAGCTTTCACATCCAGTCACAGCATTAAGGATTAGCAGCATACTTAATAAGTAATGCTCTAGATTAGCATATATTTAAAAAATGCTTCAAATTTTGAGTCAAAGCACCTCCTAATCTTAAGCATTTCACTAAATCCAAAGGAGAAAATAAGGGAGAATACTACCCAAAGGTCCTATTTTTCCCCACAAGAAATCAGAAAGGAGCCCTCAGAGAAATGCCACACCTCATATTTTTCCAGGTTACCCTGTTTGCCTGCTCCTGGTGTCTTGTTCAGGGAAGGACCCACAGCTCAGAGGTGGGAGCAGCTTCTAGATTCCTTCCTTGCTAGCCTCTCCTGTTACAGGACCTCAGCAAGCCAGGCCCTCTCTGATGGAGCACCCTGAAACCTCCCACCACTCCAGACAAACCAGCCTTCCCAGGCAGGTGCTCTCCAAATGGGCTTTACCACGACTCCCATAGCTGCAGTGATAACTCCCAGAAGCTGTGCGTGGTTGTGATCTTTTGGTGGAGATAAGAAAGGCATTGCGCTACTGTGGACTTGGGCTTTTCGAATGCAAGAGATCTCGCTAGAGACCACACGCTGCAATCGGTTGCTCTGGGAGAACGGCAGCTTCCTCAGGCAGCATCACTTCAAAACCTTGCCGTCTTCTCACTCTGAGAAGCCATTCAACTGCACTGTACATGCCATCAAGGAAGCAATGCTTGCTTAGCAGCAGCATCTGCAAAGCAGGCTTGGCTTCTGAACCAGCCTTCCCCAAGCAGGTGCCTCCTGGAGTGTTAGGCGGCACTTCTGATCTGTCCCAGCTACCCTGGAGAATACGGAAGTTGCCGTGAGGTGGCATCAGATCCTCAGCTCCTTTTAAGAGCCACCTTCCTGAATTTGAACGATTTATCGGAAGCCATTGCAGAACTCAAGGCAAAGCGGAAGGAGAAATAAAACCAAACCATCTCCAACAATTAACGTGGGCTGAACTGAAGACCAAATAGAAGAGACGCATCCTACACCCTGACCCTTCCAGAAAGCCGATTAAGAGGGGCAACTGAGGCTCTTGGGATGGGGTATGTGTGAAGCACTCGGGATGCAGCATCGGGACAACTGATGTGAACGCTGCAGCAGAACTTCCTTTGAGCAGAGCTGGAACAGGTTCTGAGATGATGGGGAATTCCAGCACTTCACATTTAATACATACGACATTTTGTAGTTTAGGGCATCATTCTATGTTCCTTTAGATAGAAAGAGCTGTGCTGGGAATTGTTGGTCTTTCTGTATTCCAAGGGACTTACTCCCAGCAAAGCTGTCTGTCTGTCAGTCTTTCCTTGAGTTAAATCCTGCTTTTTTTCTTACAACAAACTCCATGCATCTTACATAATTTTCCTTCTCCCGCTCTCAGTCTGAAGCTGAGTATGCGTAAGGTGGCAGTTTAAAATTGGAATGGAGAGAGAGAAGAGAAAAATAGGGCAGAGAAGGAGAAAGAGGAACATTAATAGTTTTATGTAAGTGATGGCTCCTGTACTGGGGTGAAATTAAAGCTAGTGCCCAGAGCTGAAAAGGCTGAAAGGTGATGGAGTTAATCACCAACCAAGTGGAATTTCCTGATGGCAAAACACTGAGATTATCCTTTTAAAGCATCAGCATCAGTTCTACTGGTCCATGTGCTGCATTTACAACTCAGCCCTTCCTGAAACACGCTCCCCAGAGGAAATGTAACATGATTCCAAAAAACAAAAACAAAAACAAAAAAAAAAAACATTTATTGCATCTCTGAAGGCTCCTGGGAGGAGGCTCCCTGTTGTGCCTCTGAATGAGTCTTTCATGTGATTTTGCCTTCCTCCCTTTTGCCTCTACAGGGAGAGGAGAGTTAATTCCTAACATTTCTGCAGTTTGAGCAGCTGCTGCCAAATCAAACTAGGTAGTGAAGCTGTGGGCAGACTCAGTATAACACAATTATACACACAAACACCCATGCATAAAGATTAACATGGTGTACGCACATGTTGTGCACACACAAACACACATACATAAACATTAAAAAGCAACACTGGGGCCAGAATAAAGGTCTTGCATGCAGAATAAATGCCCAGAATAAAATGACCTCAGGCAGTGGCCCTGGGAAGCCCCTGCGCAGTGCTTGGCCTCTCCAATTAAAGCTGGGCAGGCAACAAGGCCCGTCCTGGCCCTCTCAGCAGTCCCCCCATTCCCCTGCCCTGAGTTTCCTGTGAGAATTCAGCAGCGTGGAAGCAAAAAGAGACCGATTTCCCCTTCTTTCCAAGATGCAGAATTCCACAGCACAGCAAGACTGCAGCCATGAAGGGCTGTCCTGAAAGAGAAGTTCCCCGTGCTGCCTGCTGACCACATTTAGGTGGCAAACTGGGCACGGGATTCCTGGAAGCCGCTCGCCTCACAATTACAAGGAAAGCCTCGGCGTGCTGCTGCAGCCGATCAGAGTGGGCAAGGCTCGGCTGGGTGGATCAACGGCCTGCCTGGCTGTGAGGCGCTTTCACAGGCCGAAACGGGGGGTGACGGGGCCAATCGGTTGCTCCCGCTGTGGAGGCGTGGTGGGAAAGCCCAGTGCCTGAAGCAGCTGTTTGAGTCACTGCTCGGGGCTCGCCTCTGCCCAATCAGCAGGCCTGGCAGGCCATTCACTCATATGGAAAACCAGGAGGAAGGTGACTGCTGTGTAGGTGGGCAACCTTTGCTCTCACACAGGCTGCAAGTAAACCTTTCCTGGTGTGGCTTGTGCCTCGAGACGTCACACAAAATGTGGTTCAGGAAAGACTGAGCTGGCCAAGCTTGCCCTCTGCATATTGGTATTTGCACCAACTCTCTGGGAAGGCAGGGGACTGCTTCGTACCAGTTCAAGTTACTGGTTCAACCAGCCCTACAGTCTACCCTATCCAGTGTCCCCAGCGGAGGGCTTCCAATCGGGTTTTTTTAACTGGACAGGTGCCGAACCTTAACGCAGCGCCTCTCCTCTTTTGGCCTCGGAATAAGCTGTGGGAAAACTCACCTCTCGCTGAGCTTTTCTAGCTTGCTTCTCCTCTAGCTTCCGCTGTTTCTTTGCTCCAACCTTCCCAGAAAAATGGATCTCGGCAGCTTCAGCTTCATCGTTCTCCTCTGCGTTATGGTGTTAATTTTTTTTAAAGGAAGAAGGATAAAAAGAGAGAATGAAGAAAAGCAATTATCACAGTAGGCCACTTTCTGGTCAGAAGGATTTTTGACGCTGCAACTAAGGCTAGTCCCATGAGTAACCCTGGCTGAATTTTAGACTAATCTGTATACGTAACAGTTATTAATTCTACCTGGCCTTTGAGATCTATGCAGGGGGCCCTCCAGCAGGAGCCATCCCTTAAGGAAATGAAAGGCCTTCTCTGCAGCTGCTCCCTATTTCTGGAATGCTCTCCCCAAGAACACTCGCCTGGCGCCTTCCTTAATTTCTTTTTGGCGCCAGGCGAAGACCTTCCCTTTCAAAAAACATTTTAATAACTGATCGCCTTAGACCTTTTTGTATGTTTTCCTGTATTTTATTGTGGTTTCTGATATGTAATATGTTATGGTTTTTTATTATGTTTCATTGTGTTTTTATCTTATGTTGTGAGCTGCCCAGAGGTGCTGTGGCACATCTGGCCGGCATACGAATGTTTTGAATGAATGAATGAATGAATGAATGAATAATTCTCCATGTATTTTGTGCACTTGGTATTCTTATTCGTTGCTGGGGGAAGCCTTCATTATAGTAAGAAGGGCAGCTTGTTTGGGAAATTAGTAACAGATGAAAAATAGCAATTTGGATATGACCTGCATGTCATCTGTGTTCAGGGAGGGCAGAAACACCAGGCAATACAATGAATCAGAAGACATAGAAACCTACAAGCCCGTGGAACAATCCAGGACATGATGCTCCTGAACACACACACACACAGGTTAAGCTGGGCCACTTTGGACCCTCCATGTTCAGCATTAAGCCCGCCCTACCCTGCAGTTCCTCAGTGGTTAAGCTGGCTTGGAAAGCAGGTAAGGCAGGAGGTGACCTGCCCCGCCCACATCAGGAGCCTGACTTGAATTCAGAGAATCCTGGCCTTGAGTCATCATCAGGTCTCACTTTCTGGACTGCACAAGTTCACAGTTCGAAGGACCGATTCTGAAAAGTGCCCCAAGCTACTTGCAAGCTGTTTGCTTCCTGCTTCTTTTGGTGACAGGCCACTCTTCCCCTCAAAGATGCAAGCGGTCGCAACCCCAAGAGCAGGTGCGAGGCCAAGGGCGACTTCCTTAGGCTTCCTGCCGCCTAAGGAAGCTGAGCATCCACTGAGGCCTGCCCTGCACGAGTCCCGTTTTCGTGCCATGGCCTTCTCTCAAGACCCCATGCTGCAACCAATATGCTCTGAGGCCACCCACGCAAAGAACTTGTTCAGAAGTCACGCTAAACCACAGTTTCACCTTCTGCACATGAGCATGCTGCTTGTTTTTTGGTTTTCTCACTGCGAGAATAGGAGAGAAGGAAAGGGAGTGGGGCCTCCCTTAAGGGGTTTCAGCCTACAGTGGGCTTTGGGATTTGCACTGAGAAACACTGCACGACACCCCAGCTGAGGGTTGTGCCTGAACGCAGTCAAAGCACTCCCAAGTTCACGATATATTTAACAGCACGAATCGGCCGTGGCCAGCCTCCCAAGCCCAAGGTGGCCTTGGCTCGCTCGCCCAGAGTGCACTCCTTTGCCGAAGCAGAAGATTCAACACCAGCCGTGCCAGGCCTTTGAGATTACTTCAAGGCGGCTCGGTAATTTGACAGAAATTATAAACAGCCTGGCCTGAAAACTTCAAAAGCGCTTTCCTGATTTCATTCTTTCTGAAATGCCTTCACACTTCAAAGAAGTACACCCAAGTTGAAAAGTTCAGGGCTGTCAATTTGCCATCTGCGGGCCGCTAAACGCAGTCACAGATTCAGCGGCAGAACAAAGGGATGGTTCTCCCATGTTCAAAGTGGAGACGCGCAGCCTCCTTTCAAGAGGAAGCCCTGCGGAGGCCACTTGCTTCTCATGTGTCGTGGCTCTCGGCAAAGAAACAACTCTGGCTTCAGCGGGAAGAACACTTCTCTGGCCGGGGGGAGCTGCAGGAGCAGTGAGGGCCCATGGCTCAGTACGTCTGCTTGCAGAAGGCCATGGATTCGACTCCTGCCTAGTGGAAGGATCCCATTAGCAAGCCTGCGAAAATGCCTGGGGAGGAACCGATGGCTCTTCCAGCAGCCTGAGGAATTGACCACCCCAAGCGCCACTGCCACAGCAGCTCAGGCCATGATAAATGTACTCATCCCCGAGGCTGGCCCCTTTTTGCTACTCGACCTGGGCAGCTTCTGGATAGCTTTAGTCAAATTCATGGCAGCTGCGGCTAGCCATGACCACTAGGCACAACAGCCATAGGCTACCTCAAGGATCACGAGGCAGGACACCTCAGGGAATCAGCCCAAGACAGGAATTCCTGTGTGCCTGGAATGTGCTGCTACACCCTTTCCTTCTGGGGTCCTCAGAAGCACGTGGCTGGCTCCTGTGGGAAGCAGGAAGCTGGACTGGCCTGATCCAGCAAAGCCTTTCTTGTTCTTACGGCACAATTTACGACCAGAGGGTTCCTACACTCCAAAACTCAGGACTCTATTGAAACCTTATCAGAAACCAGCACAGAATGGGCAACTCAGCAGCCCGGGGCACCGATGCTCACTCACCTGCCTCACCTTTCTTCCCACCTGCCTTACCCTTCTCATGTAAACACACACGCACACACATTTCCTTACCAAATGGTGGGATTTTTGTGAAGGAGGGTTTGGCCGGGGCTGAGAACAGGATTCCACTGAGCTGTGTGGTGCGTCGGGGCTTCCCTCCCTCCCTGCCTTATTTATTTATCTATTCATTCATTCATTCATTCATTTGATCTATATCCTGCCTTATTCCTACAAAGGGCTCAAGGCAGCTTACATCATTCTCCTCCTCCATCTTATCCTCACAACAACAACCCTGTGAGGTAGGCTGGGCTGAGAGTCTGTGACTGGCCCAAAGTCTCCCAGTTGGCTCCATGGCTGAGCGGGGACTAGAACCCAGATTGTCTGAGCCCCAGTCCCACACTCTTAACCACTACACCACACTGCCTCTTATACTGTTGGGCAAGCCACTCCTCCTCCGCCACGCTTCTCATGGCAACCATTCTGTGGCAGCACCCAGGACGTGTTTTGAGATGGCCAAATGGCCCTCAAAGGCTGAACTAGCCTGCATCCTGCAAGGCGGCCGTCAGGAAAGCTGAATTAGTGAGGGAGAAGAAACACACGCCCAGATCTGCTGCCGCAGACACCCTCCAGGCGACATCGGAGTTCCTAAAGGCACCTCCCGATTCTGTCCATGCTGCGGAGAGGAGACAAAAAGGGCACCTCAGCCAGGCAGAGCACACGCCTCATCTCCGTTCCTGCTCATACACCCCGTCCCAGGGCGGCCGTGCCGAACGCAAGCCGTTAGCCTTGAGGAGCCGACTGCTGCCGTGGGGCTGCCTGTGGAAATGGCTTGCGATTGCCTGATCCTACCGGTCCTATTACTGACAAATAAACGAGTGGGACCGAGCACAAGCTTGCTTGCGGGAGGGCTACCTGCACCTCCAGGTCACGAGGGCTGGATCGACGGCGTCAACAGCCACCCGTCCTGTCCCTCCGCACATCCTGCACCAACCCCACACGTGTGCAGATTGGTGGACGGATCCCTACGGAGCCGAAGCCAAATCGCTGCGGAAGAGCTCTGGTGATCCTTTATGGATCCTGATGCAAAATTCCAGGACGACTGCCTCCCATTCCACCTGCCCGCTGGATCTTATTTGAGACTTTACGACCACAGGGCATTGGATCTGGCATGGCATTTTTGCTGCCTGTCATTGTCTTGACTGTCCTTGTGCCCCACAAAGGGAAACGAACTGTAAGTTCTGGAAACGAACAGCACCAGCAGGCAAGAGCTGATCTGGCAGCAGGCAGCTCCTCGCGTCCATTACCTTCCATGGCATCTTCTGCCTGCTGGGCACGGCGCTGCGCCCACATCCTGTTGCCCAGGTTCCTCCGGCGTCTGGGCATCCCATCTGCTCGCTCGCTGGCGTGGGGCTGAGGTCTGGCTGCCACGGCGGCTGCCACGTTCCGAGCGTGCTCTTCATCTCCTAAAGAGAAGACGCCCGTTAAAGTGTGCTTTTTCCAGCAGGGAGTCCCTTTGCTTCAGGCGGCACATGGAGCATTAAGAATGCGTAAGTCGCCCCTCGGAATTAAAAAAAAAAAAGCAAAGCATACTGCAATTTAACATTTGCCCAATTTGGTAGAAGCCACTCAATGTGGAGCAAAATGCTCACATCACTTGTGGCTTAGCCGCCCCCCCCCCCGCCCCCGCCATGTTGCCTGTCTGCTCAGAACCCACACTGAGTTCAAAGGAACCTATTTATTTATTCATTCAAGTTTTTCTATGCCATCCCATTACTAAAAGTCTCTGGACGGCTTACAACGCACAAAAAGAACAATGAACCATAACACCCACAACACACTGCATCCAATAAATACTGATAAAAACAAGGATAAAACCAATTGTTAAACTGCGGATAAAATAAAAAGGTCTTTGCCTGACGACCCAAAGAATAGAGCGACGGCACCAGGCGAACCTCCCTGGGGAGTGTGTTCCACAGTCAGGGCGCCACCACTGAAAAGGCCCTTCCCTGGGCAGCCACCCTCCCGATTTCCTTCAAGGAGGGCTCCCGGAGGAGGGCCTCTGCCTCTGCTCTCGGGGGGTGGGCCGGCACAAAGGGGAGAAGGCGCTCCTTCAGGTATCCAGGATCCAAGCCACTTAGGGCCTTAGATTATTACCAACACCTTAAACTGGGCCTGGACGTCAACTGGTAGAGAAACACGCGAGTGCACAAGACTGGAGCCTGAAGGCAAACCGAGGCCACTGCATGAGCTCAGCAGAGGCTGCCATGAGCTGGCCTCCCTTTCTGCAGAAGGCAAAACAAAGGGAGAGCCGGCATTTGGAACTGGCTTTTTAAAAAGCTCAGATATGGAGACATTTGTCAGGATGGCTCAGCACTGGCCCCCTAAGAGAAGCTAAGGATGTCCCAGGTGCAACCTGCATCCAGACAGGGACTGAGAGTACGGCCGCCTCCCCACACTGGCGTCTGTGCTACGCGGCGAGGGGGGCTCTGCCTCCTGACACACACCTGTGGCAATTTCTGTAATGATTTCAGCAGTGGAGTGGACATTGGGTCCTAAAGCAGGGACAGGCCATTCCTGGACTGGGCAATATATGCAAATCCCTTCAAACTCTCTACCAGCGCTGATCCAAAGGAGGAACCGATTCAAGCGGGGAACCATGTCAATTATTAACTGGATGTCTTTATTTTCTCAGCGTAGAGAAGGCGGCTGTGTGGGTGGCCCTTCAATTCTGGCTTCGCTTGGCTTCACAGGCCACCTTTATCTGAAGGGCTCTGTAAATGCAAACCATTCTCTGTAGCAGCCTTTTAAAAAATGTGAAAAAAGGGCCATCGGTAAACAAGTCGCAGAGGCTGATAGCCTAACTCTGGGGTTACCAACGGATGCGTCTGTTAAATGGTTCTCAAGCTTACTCTCTGCTCTTCGGATACAACGAGGATGCTTTTTTCTGTGGAACCTCTTCTGGCTATTTTAAAGGGTATAATCCTAGGCACGCTTAGATGGAAACAGCAATGCTTAGGCTGTGAGTTGTGGCCCTTGAGAGCTGTTTTCAGTTTCTAGACAGCGTGTGTTTGTGTGTAGTGTTCTTAAAAAAAACCATGGAGGTATTGTAGGATCTCATGGGAGGGATAATTTAGGATCTATGGATTGATGGATCCTTATTATCAGTGCTTTTGCCTTTTGTGCACCTGTCTACACAATTTATCTGAGTAAAGATAAAGGTTTCTATTGGTCTACTGAGTCTGAATTAAAATATGCATTTTTATTTTTATAAATTAAATATATAAATAAAATAAACAGAAATTAATATATCACTCCTTTGAACAAATATTCCCCCAAATGCTTTCAAATAATAAATTTAAATTACTCTCTGCCAAAACAAGTGCAAAAGCAATGTCTAAATTCAGCACCAAGTTGCAGACTTCAGCTAGGGCTTAGGTACTGGCCTTGTAGGCTGGGGAAGGTGGGAACTGCAGTCTCACACATCACAAGGCGACCAAGTGGCACGAGGCTAATTTAAAATATAGTTCCCTTTTCTATTAAATTGAAACATTTAACTTAAAATAACAAAGAAAATAAAGAAGTCTCAGCCTAGTGCCTAAAAAAGGGGGAGGGGGAAGGTACCAGATGAACTTCCTTGGCTAGAGATTTTCATAACCATCAATATCCCCAGTGAAAGCTTGTTATGCAAAATCTGAATCTAAAATTCAGAAAGACTGTTTGAAAATAATGTTTTACTGCTGCCAAGGTTGTGATTATGGTATAACATATTCCTTTTGTAGTAGGCTTCATGTAAAAAAATTGTATTTTTACTCGGTATACTTTTCCTCTTGGGCTTTATGAAACTTGAAAACTTGCTGTTCAAATGATCTTTGCCCTGGCTAGATTGTTAATGAACCAACTAATCTTGCAAAAATAAAAAATAAGCAAGAAAGAAAGAGAAAAAGCTAGAATCCTGTTAAAATGGAATGAAAAATGCCATCCAAAAGAGAGAAGGGATAACAGTCATAAAGAATAACTGAAAACTCTGCTGGTCTCAAAGATACAATTCAGTTCAGTAAATAATGTTCCATGAACATTAAGTAAGAACCAGTGTCATAATGTTATTTGGCATTTCTGCACCAATAAAAGAAATAACCTAGTGGTTGAATTTTTCAGAGTTCTTCCCCAGGCTCAGTACTGAATCTTTTAATAAAAGGTGGTGGGGACTGAGAAGATAATGCAGGTTTTTATCTTAACTCAAGGCAGAAATTCAGGAAACAATTTTGTAGATTAAGGAACTTCACTTCTGTCTAGTGGAAAAACCTGTTGCAAGGCATGCTTGGAGAGGGAAAAATGACCACTGCCATTTTGAAGATCATCATCATCATCATCAAAAACTCTAGGGGTTATCTGAACATTTGACTCTCAAAGACTAATAGGAACTCATGAGTCCTCCCCAAGAAGGAGAACAGGAGGGAAAATGAGTGGTTGTACAACTGGAGCTGAATTTAAATGCCACACTCAAAGGCAAAGTCTTACCAAAGGGGCTGAAGGGCATTTTTCTCATGCACCCACCCACTCTTGGTAAATTCCCATCCTTTGGTAACACAAAGTGATTTCTTTCCAGGTTTTGGATCCATTTTTGGACGCACTGCAGTTGCATTGGCCCCTCAGTAAAATAATCTAACTAGGCATAACTATTATGTTGCCTCTGATGAGTCAAAGCAGTGAGCCAGCTTTTGAGTTACACAGAACTCTTCTTCAGGCTCTGTATTTAACAAAAGGGGAAAGGAAGGGAGCCTTACAGAACCTTACTCTCCATTTAAAGGCAAGCCTTTTATTCTGACTGATTCCTTTTCCAAAAAAGAAGAGCATGCAGGGAAATTCAGAGAACGCCACGTGCAAAAGAGCTCATGAGAGCAGAAGCGAGAGATGCGCACTGAGGTCTGAGAAACATGGCTTTGTGCAAGCAGGCTTAAAAACACTGCTCTGCTACATCCTGCCGTTCCTCTGATTTAAATACTAACCCGGCCCAACTCAGCTTGTGAAATGTCAGGTCTGACGTGGGACATGACGGTTGGAGAAACAGGAAGCAAGCAGTAGAGAATGCCACTCAGCATTGCAGAGGGAATGTGGGATATATCATGAAGCCGGTATTCAGGGTCCTGCTGCAGCAGTGTCCTGGGGCTAAGGCCCGGGGCCTCATCTCAGTCTTACTGCATTCAGAGCAGCTATAGCAGAGTGAGACTAGAATAATTTCTTGCCGTGATGGTCCATGCATGCTTAGAGGCCCCCAGATCAACTCAAATGCACACTTGGGAGCACAAGGACCTATCTAGAGTAGCAGCAGCTCCGAATTAATCTGGGTTGGGCCTGATGAGGCTTTCACATGCCAGAAATCCTCTCCACTCAAACACTTAGTACCCCTAGCCATGAACGTGGGGGAGAGAAAGAGGAGACCCTTCTTTTGTCAACCCTTTCACTTGCTCCTTCCCAGACCTGGCTGTGATTAAGCCCTGGTTGGTAGTGAAAGCACTCAGCACATGGGCAGAGGCACATGCTTGTGCTGACAGGTTTCCAGAGAGCAAGAGCTCTGCATTGGCAAAAAGTAACTGCTGCTGCTGCTGCCACACTGTGAAAGGTGGTTACTCCTGGGTAGCACTGCAGGAAAGGAGGGTCCGGAAAATATGCTTTGCATGCAAAAGTGCAAGTTTGATCTGGAGGATTTCCAGGGCGGGGAAAGAGCCCACCTGAAACCTGTCCAGGTAGCATTGATCAGCAATAATATACACTCTAATGGCTTACTCTCTTATGAAGGGTGGCCAAGTGTTCTACTTTACAGGGGGCAGTCCTCTATCTAAAAGTGTCCTGCACACAAACACCCAGTCCAAGTCCAGTTTCAAGAACCCCAGGACAAGAAAGCCAAGGGGCTTTCAAGTTGCCCCTCACTAGGGCAGCAAACCAGCAGCTGCAGTCATCTGATCCGTCTTCACCACATCTTCGAATCGTCATGTCCTTCTGTTCAAATTATCAGCTATTTCCACCGAAGCATCTACACCTGGCCATGAGCCTTTGCAACTTTTCACAGAAATAGGGCTCCTGTTCAGCAGCGCCTGGCCGGCTGCTTTCCAACAGGGCAGCTTCCAACTCTGCACGTGGTCAGAGGCAGCCGCTTATACTTTCCGGGACGGCGAAAAGTGATGAGCCCTGCCCTGACCGGGTTAAACGGGAGCGCACTCTGCACACGCTCAGAGGCACTCTTACTTTGACAGGATGCAGGGGCAGGGCGCTGGGATGACGGAAATAGGTTCCGCGGCAGCCACAACCCTCCTCCCGCCACAACCCCCTTCTCCCGCGCTAAGGTGCAGCTGCGGAGCGGCCCCACGGGCCGCGGCTCCCTCGCGGCGCTCTCCCTACCGGCGCGCGCTTGTCCGCGGACGCGGCGGGCGAAGAAGAGAAGCGCCGCCAGCAGCGCGGCCGCCAGCAGGTACAGCACGGGGTCCATCTTGACCACGTGACCCCTCCTCTCGCCCCGCCTCCTCCCCCCCGGGCTACACGGCCAATCCGAAGGGAGTCGATCCAAAGTTAGTCCGCAGGAAACCACGCCCACGCTTTCCCCAGTCGTCGTGGGAGGTTCCAAAGCGGACGGCCGAAGGGGGATGGAAGGGAGGCCCCGGAGGGAGGGAGCGCTTGGTACGTTCTCTGGTGGCGTAGCCTAGCAACCCGGAGAGGTCCTCTCGCGGACAGTTGGCTCTTCCCCAACGTTTTATGGGAGGCTAGTAAATTGCCTGATGAGAAAGATGCCTCTCCTTTATGTAGAAATAAAATATTTATGAGCAAGAGTACTGACGAACTAGTATTAGGACGATTATGATTACGATTATGATTACTATTTTAAAGCTCAATCCTATGCATGTTTAGACGGGGGAAAAAGCCCTACAACTCCAAGTATGCTCTGTCTAAATATGCCCAGCGTTATACCTTTAGAGCATTTAAAAGACACTTTTAACCCCCCTCCCTTCCTCTGTATTCCTATTCTGTCTATCCCATTCATCCCTGTGGAATGAAATGGGGTTTGAATGGGCCCAAAGGACTGGCTAAGTCGTTGCCTGCACAGCAATGGAGAAGAGCAGGCTGATCTTGCTGCTGGTGCTGTGGCCTTGGGAAGAAGCTACTGTGCAAAATAGTAACCTCTCACATGCACAATTGCTAGAGCATTTGATAGTTGAACTGGCAATAATAGATAGCTTTTCACAGGCACTTTGATGCTACACCTTCCAGATGGATGTTGCATGTGACATTTAACATGTTTTTAATTTTGGCATGCATGTCCTGCCTAAATACATTATCACAATAGAAACAGACAATGAGGCAGTAAGTTTGACCTGTGTATAATATAGTTTTTATTTATGGAGATATTTATGTACTGTGCCCCCAGCAGCTCCTAATAATAAAACACAATTCTGATACAATAGAACCGCTATATATATGGTTGGTAAAATATGACACAAACATGATGCAATTGATAGGAAGAAAACAATGGGCTTAAAACTCTTGCAGGCTATTTTTTCTGTCAAAATTGGAATTGGGTTTTGCCCTGAAGGATGCATGTTTTATGTATGACCAAGCTGTGGAACTTTTTTGGGGGGTCTAAATATGTTTAGGACTGCATTGACTGTCTAAAAATAAGCAATGAAGGGGCCAATGAAGCTCTTTTGCAAGAAGGCTACAGGTAGAAGTGGAATGTCACTGCCATGAAAGTCTTGTCTTGCAGAACTGCCAGCCATGGTAATGAAACAGAGAGTTGGTTATCTGGTGCTGACTTCCATTGCCAAGAACGTGGACTCAGGGCAATCCTATGCAAGTTTAGACAGAAAAAGGTCCTACAACTCCTAGCATCCCACAGCCAGCAAGTCTGCACATTTAATCATGCTTTTTTATTTTTATTTTTGAGAATAATTAGTCACTAAGTTAAACTTAAAAGATAAACTCTAGAGAGCTCCAGAAAGTGGGTTCCACAGCCAAGAAAATCCTTGACTTTGTCTTACTTCTTATACATGCTGAGATGGGAAGACACACAACAAGACCTCAGTGATCATTCTTGAAGTACATGGGAAGAGGTCTGCATTTCATCTGCATCTCTAAGCTATTTATTCAAGGCACAAACAGAACTGAATGAGAAAATAAATCTTGTGACTCCCAGCACGCCTCAGTCAGTCATACTAGTTGAAGTCTGCAGGAGTTGACGGACATTTCCTTCTTTGTAAACCTGCAAAGAGTTAAGTCTGAAGTTGTTCAGTGTTTATAGCTTGTCTGAGAAGGAGATGGCCAGGTTCTCTAAACAGTGCACTAGGAATTGGAAGTGTCAATCTGCTGGACAAACTGACCTTCCATTTCCCATCGTTGCAGGAAGCCAGGCAACGCAGTTAGACATGGTATTAAATACTATGACACATGTCCACTTCTCTGAGCAGTGGCAAGTTCTAGGGGTGCAGTGTTTCCCCAGGCTGGATTACCTTTGCATTGAGTCCACCGTGAGTGGCTTTTTGGAATATTTAAGCTTACAAGAATGGTCTCAGACTTCTCTACACTTCTTTAGTTTTGCCACCAGGTGTCACTACAGTTCCTAAGATGTTGCATCAAAGAGAAGAAGACAGGTAGACCACTGGTTGAGGCATATTTAAGATTGCAGGCAGCAGGAGGGGAATGATGTAAGTTGCTTTGAGTGCATAAGGAAAAAATGGGATATGAATTAGCAATAAGTAAGTTTAGGGGGTCACTTGCTAGTTGCAAAGTCGTGTCTGACCCATCACGACCCCATGGACAACACTCCTCCAGGCCTTCCTGTCCTCCAGCATCCCCCGGAATCCACTTAAGCTCACGCTGACTGCGTCAGTGACTCCATCCAGCCACCTCATTTTCTGGACATAAGCTTTGGGCTATAAGACAACTGCTTCTGACAATGATGGGCAACCTGTGTCCACAGTACTTGGAAACCACCTGTTAGAAGGAGAGAAATTGGGACCGGTGTTGAGTGCGCTTATTAACGGAGTCCTCTTTGCCCATCTGCCTTTCGGGTTGGTCAGGTTGTCTCAAGTCTGCAGTTGTTTAGCCTGTTCAGATCGGTCATCCAGGTATAACCTTGCTTCCAGTCTTCTCTTTTAGGAGACAGTCATTGATGTCCTCAGGTGTCAAGGCATTTGCCAGTCTTGGGTTTTGGCCTGAATGCTGCAATGAGCTTACATCCTCGGTCTGTGTGCTGAGCCCTCCAGTGGCCCTTGCCTTGTGTAAGCCCACGTGCTCTTTCTGCAGTCCTCTCTGTCACTCAGGCAGAGCTGAACATGGGACCTGGTGGGTGTCTGTGGTTTGGCTAATTCCAAGCAATGTGGTCCCGCAAGATTGCACTGAAGTTGCTCAGCACACATCAATGCTACACACAGGGAGCTGAGTGATTCTTCTAATGCGGAGAGCTGGAATATGGGAGTCTGAGAGTGCATATCTCACGAGTTCATGCCTTTTCACCATATTCTTCATGAGGGTATTTTCCTGTCCTGAAAGTTGCGTGGAGACCTGGACCTTCCATTTCAGCTGAGCACTGCAGCCACTTGAACCTTCAAAGAGCTGTCCATGGTGGTGAAACCAAGCCCAGTGTAGGTTCAATGCTATGGATGGCTCCTTTAACATTCTGGCTTAAATCTGGAGAGGACACACCACTCCACTGACACTTGAGCGACCTGTGACTGCTCCTGAAAGGGGTGTTCCCCCCCCCCCCCAGGACAGAATGGTGGTTGATTCTGCTCTGTTCTGGTCAAATCAGGGCCATCAGCAACCTTGCCAGGAGTTCTGACAATATGAGAAACAATAATTTTCTATCGCCATACATATAATATAATCCGTTTGAGTCTGCACTTGGCTTTCTTCTAGCTTGAAAAAGGGAACAAAATCCCTCTTGTTTGCATTTCTCTATTAGTCTTCCTTCTGAACATAAGAGCAATTGACACTTATTCTTGTTCAGGAAAACTGATGAGGGATTGATGAGGGAACCTGAAGTTCTCTCTATGCATGGTAAGCATTCAGGAACTGGGAAATAGAATGCTATCTACAGATAAGAAAGCTGGAAGGCCCTAATATATGTCCGTTTGCAGAGCATTTTCCTGGCTGGCTGTTTGAATGAGGTTTATATACTGAGAGGGCAGCCTTGTGCTGACAGCTAAACAAAGTGACAAACCCCCATTAAGTCCACGCAGGGCGTGTTTGCTTTTCGGTTTGAGCTGCTCAGTTGCAGGGAACACGGAGGGCCGCATGCAAGAGTACCTTCGACGGGGACCGCCGCCTTCTCCCTTCTGAGTTCTTGACCTGTTCCTGGGAAAATAAAGGAGTGTGTTGAATACAAAAAAGGCAGAGACAGCAAAATCTTCATTGCTGTTCTTTGGAGATTCAAGGGCAGTGTCTGCCTCAGCTCCAGGGCAGAGGGGTTACTTTGGCTTCCAAGCCCCCACAGGCAGAACTGCGGCAGTGCTGGGCCCGTCCATCGTCCATCGGCAACTCTGCCCCCAAACCTAATCTTTCAGTGCTCTGCTTGCAAAGCGCAGAGGGACAATGGATGCACTCGTTTTCAGCAGATGAGGCACTTGCTTTTTAAATGAGCAATTTTACATCTATTTATCTATTAAGTTTGTGTCCTGGCTTTGCCTCAGGCCTTCTGGTGCTGATCACGGGGCATTCAGGTGCAGGGGCCCCTTCCAGTCCCATGGGTTTGGGGCTTCAAAGGCCAAGGAGATGTGATCCAGGCATTTGGCTCCCACAAGCATTCTGAAGGCAGCATTCTGTCCCAGCATCTGCGAGGGCAGCCCTGGGTAGATCACGCTGCCGCTTTCTAGCTTGGATGTGACCAACCCTTGTGTCTCTGGGGCTCGGTCCACTCTCTTTAGATAGGTCTGCAACTGCTGAACCAGCCTCAGCAAGTGAAAAGCACTCCCATGGTTGAGACCACGCATGCCATGGGTCATAGGCAGAGCTGAGTCCAGGAGTGTGCCCAGACCTTGGCCCCTTCAGGGTCATCCTACGTGCCATTCATGCAGGGGCAGAATTTGGAGGGAGAGCTTTTTGTGGGGTGGGGAGCAGGGAGTGCCTGCTGCCCTCCTGTTGGAAATGCAGTTTTTGCAGGCTTCATTTCATATCTGAACAAGTGGGTTGCCTATGTACGCGTAGCCTGCATTATTCCTTTGTTTTGCTCCTTGGTGTTCTTGTGGGCTGAGCTGAGTGTTTCCTTTCACTTTGTAAAAAGATAACAGCAAATGTACATTTCAATGCTCCAAGGTCAAGCAAGCCTTGAGCTTTTGTTCCAGTGTTCTCATTAGAATGGTAACGCTTGGAGCCATCCTTTTGCCTTGTTAATTGGAGGCAAATGTTTACCAACCCTCAGGAAAGGAGGATTACTTTTCCAAAGTATGCACAGTGCAGTTGATAGCCTGGCTTTTGTTTTGTCCGTGTAACTGCCCCCCTAAGGGCAGAAAACCCCCCAAACCAGCACTTGATTGGTACTTCACAGGCACAGTTGTACCAAGAGGAGAACAGCAGTTTTAAACATGGGAAGAAACAGACCATTTGTAAATCTAAATGCAGGTATGACCTTAGATGCAAAATCCCTGCTCTGGAACCAAGGACTACATGCTTGCTCTGGACACACCATGACGCTAAAGCCTCTATTCAAGTCTTTTCTAACATGGTCCTCTCCAGATGTGTTGGCTCCCAACTCCCTTCATTCCCAGCCAGTGGTCCAGTACATCTGGAGGGCAGCTGGGCATCTCCTGCCTTTTTTGAGGAAACAAGAAGTTTTATTTTTAAAAGTTTTTATTGCTGCAGCCGAGGTCAGGCAAAGCTGAGCTTGGAGCTCCAGAAACATCTTTTAAGCAGCCTCAGAACCCCAAAACGAAACACCTCCAATACCTTGTTCCAAGGAAGCCCAACCTCTGAGAAGGCTTGTGGTCATAACCCAGGTTCATGCAACATACAACCCTTAATCAAACTCAGTGCGTAGTGCGTGTTGTCATTACATAGGGGGCTGTTGTTGAGCGTGTTGTCTGACCCAGACTGCACCAATTAGCCATGCCTTATTCACAACAAATCACCCATGAAGAGAACCACGGTTTGTTCTGGGCCGGTGAACTGCAGGTTGTCCATCATAGTTTGCTATTTCATCTGGGTTCAGACAACACTTTCACCCACGTTTCAACAGTCACCCATAGTGCTGTGCAAGAACCCCTTGAGTGTGGGTTTTCATGTCATCTGAATCCATTTGTGGAGTCTTCACTCCTCAGAGGAAAGTATTAATTTACTTTGTGGTAGACTCTTCTGCAGTTCAAGCATGAGCAGAGTCCATTTCCCACTCTTGTGGACGTCCACCTCCAGCATTCCTGACCATCGGCCATACTGGCAAGGGCTTCTGGGAAATGTGGTCCCATCCACTTGAAGGTCTCCCTTCTGTCCATTCCTGCAGTAGTGCATTAGCAGGCAGAAGTGGCTCTTGTGTGGATCCCCTCCGCCTATCCCCCTCCTAAACGGTGGAAATTCCTCTCTCAAGGCCTACTCACAAGCAAGGAGAACTTTAAGTCACAACGGGCTGGGATTTAAAAATTGGGGGCCATCCCTTTTGCCATCAAAATTTTTCTCTTTGTCTCCTCCACTTCTGATCTTCAGCCAAAGGGTTGCGAGAGGCTGTGTATTGGATGGCACCTTCGGGTTGATTACACAACCGCACGTAGGTGCTTTGAAGGCAGGTCCCATCCAGACATCCACCCCTCACCCCAACTCAGAGCATAGTTCCTTATAATATGCAAGAAACTGGGTGGGTGGGGGTCCCACAACTATTTCCACCAAGGAGGGGAAACAGGCTTCCAGTTTGCTCCTGGAGCACTTCCCAAATGTCCAAGATGCTGCATCACCCAGAGGAAATGTGACATGCAAAGCTGGCCTCAAGGGCCACTTGGATCCTCCTGGATGCGGCCGACACGGGGCTGCAGCGCTCTGGCGGGAGGATAGTTGCCGCTGGGCACACTCTGCCATCCTGCAGCCACAAGGGACAGGCAGGACGCAGAATAATGTGTATTCCTTCCCAGTTCATGAGGGTATCCTCACCTTCCTTTGTGGGGCCTCCTCCAGTGGCACGAAGCTGACAGTTCCTTACAGGCCACAGATGGCCACGGGTCCTCCTTTGCGGGGGACCATCCACGGTTTGAAGCTGCCCTCTATTCACAGGGCTGTTCAGTTCAAACCTGGGTTAAAGGTGGAGAACCAGAAGAAGGAAGGTCCCGGAAGTTCTCCACAATCCGTTAACACCTGGGCAACACACTGAAGAAGGCTCTTGAATGATCTTCCTCGCTATCCTGAGATGAACTGTATTTCTAATCCGTTGAAATTATACTCATTATTTCTACATTTGCATTTTGGTAGATCAAGGTCTTCTTCTGGCCTTTTTTTGTGGTGGGAGGTTATGCGTTTCCTCATTTGGGACAATGCATAATTGCCACCCAGCACCATTCCCAATTGATTTCATGCACTTCCCCTTCCCTGGTGAGATTTTCTCTTGCCTTCCCTTCTTCTGCATGATGGTTTCCACTCATGTCTTCCTTTCCAGTGCTCATGGCCCAGTTTGCTGTCCTTTTCCCCATTGGTCTGGTCCCGGCAGACTTGCATCCCCTCGGCCAAGCCCATTGGTATGGGAAAGTGGAATAGCCCATTGAGGTTGAGGTGCGCCTTGAAGGCAGATGGTGAGATGTCAGTGAGCTTGCAACCTGTGAAGAAGATCCAGAGGCAGCGAAATAGGCTGCATCGTAGCCACGGTGTGTTCGAAGCATGCTTTATGATCTTCCTCCTTGCAGAGTTCTCTTATATCCTTTTCCATTCATGGGAGAGCTGCAAGTGTCACCCAGCCAGGACCTAGAAGCTCAAACACTGAGATTCTGAGGGAACCGTGATTCCAGAACTTCCTGCTATTTCTTCTTAGGTGCTGGTTTTCTCAGCCAGAGGCCAGAATTTCATGGGCTTGGGAGGTGGGTTAGAAATGTGGGATGACGAGAGTTTGCCCGTAGGATGTATCCTCCTAGGACATGCTCTGAACCAAGGTGGGCCTCGTGCAGCTCAGGCCCCAGCAAGCTTCTAGCAGGTACTCTCTGACTTTCCTGTAGCCGAACACCACAACATAGGAACTAGCAGAGTAGTAAATGGAAGACAAGATGCCGTAGAGCGTGTTGAGGACACTGTTCTCAAAACTGCTCTTGATGTAGCCCGAGACAATGGCGATCCAGACGACGTCATTGGAGATCCAGCAGACCACATATATGGAGAGCAGCGAAAGCAGGACTTTTGTGGCTTGTGCAGTGTGCTTGTTCCAGCCGCTGCTGGTGATGGAGGTGCTGGCCTTCACTTTCCGGCTATGCTTCCAGAGGAGGTCGATGATGAAGCCGTTGAGGATAATGACGAGCAGGATGAAAACAAAGTCCAAGCTGACTGAGGCATACGTGGTGAACTGCATGGCAAAGCTCTCTGTGTATCTCAGACAGGTGGAGGTGGCCAGGAAGGCGACGGTCTTGTTTTTCCTGCCCGCTGTCTTCTCATACTGCATGTAGGGGATCTGCAAGAGAATGCTGCATATCCAGGAGCTGACGAGGGTGCCGTTGACGTATTGCCCCTGGTACCTGTAGATGAACTTGGACCACCGGTGGTTGGGCCTCCGGATCTTGATGAGGTGCAGGAAGCTCAGGTTCTCCACGGACCAGATGCTGACCAGCCTTAGCGTGTGGTACGTATAGAGGAGAATCCTGCAGCCCAGTTCGCCAAAGACTTTGGTGCTGCTGAAGAGAAGGAGCCCGGGGATTACCTTGTAGCAGCAGAGAAAAAAGTTCACCAGAGCCATGTTGACGATGATCCGGTCCAGAGGCTGGAGCACCTTTTGCCGGACTGCATTGCTGATGAAGGCGAAGATCACAGTGAGGTTGCCGATCATGCCAGCAAAGGAAGACAGGTATATGAGGATGGATGTGACGTACGTGAGGTTGAACACCATGGTGCTGCAGGCCCTCTTTCGTGCAGCCCTGGCTGGATCGCAAAGGTCTTTCCCCCTTTGGTTGGCTTCCTTCCCGCAGCTCTAACGTACCATGTCTTTTCTGGTGCACACCTGCCAAACTCGGGACATCTTTCCCACCCTGCTCAGGAGCTCTTTTATGCCACCGCTCCTCTCAATCCACTCACACCCCTTGAGCCACCCAGGGCCCTGATCACTCTCCTATTTGTCTAAGCATTGTTATCTTATTTTGCTGGAAAGGTCAGCTGTGAAACAGATTAGCCAATGACTGATATGAAATGTACTAGCAGCTGGAGAAAGGAGGTGGTAAGGAGGAAAGCAGGGCTGTTTTTAGTTGGGTCTCCTCTCTCTTGCTCTCTCTCTCTCTCCCCCCTATCTTTTTCTTTCCAAGTATCCCTCTCCCTCATCTTACCAGAGCAAGAAGGCTGTACTAAAGGAGAAGAGAGGAACACGCAGAACCTTCTGCCAGCCGCTCTAAAAGACTTAACCTCTCTTCATACCCCTTTCCTAAGCCTGTAGGCTAGGACTATTTTGTTTTACCTGTAATCCTATGCAAATCTAGACAGGAAAAATGGCTAGCCATGTAAACTTGCATAGGATTCTGCCTTAAGCTGCCCTTAATCAGTAAAAACAGTTTTTGGTGGAGGAGCAAAATACTGTGAATAAATCCACTAAATAAATATAAGATGCTACAAATAAATAAGCAGGCATACATCAATTAATGAAAAAAATCAGCATGCAGCATGTTGAGCCATTACTAAAAATAACTATCTTTATTCTTCTATTTGTAATTTTAAAAATTGCAAAATACTTGAGGCTTTTTTCTCCTTGGTGATCTGTCCTCTTGACTGTCTTCTAGTAGTTGCAGATCTTTCCCTTTGTTGTGTTAGACGCTTGCCCCTTTTGATGTTGTGTAGGTTGATTCTTGGGTTGAGGGTTTGCAAGAACATCAGACAAGGGGTGTGGGAAAGGGGGAAGAATGAAGTGATCCCTGGTTTTAGAGAAGGAGCTGCAGGTCTAAAGCAGTTCATCCAGCTATCTATCTTGGATTCTGCTTCTACACTTTTTCTTGTAGTACGGTGTTGTTCTCCATTCCAGAAGCATTGGGCCACACAATCCACGCAAGAGAGCGTTGCACAAATCTTGGGGCTCCTGCCCACCCGGGGAGGCCTTAGGAAGCTCAAGGGGCTGGCAGAAACCACACGAGGTTGGGTGCATCCTTCGGAATGCCCGTTGGTGGGTTTGGCCCAATGCTTTGCCACTTGAGGTAAAGGCCTAGGTACCTTCTCCCTCCCAATCCCACAAACAGAACAGTCAAGATTTACTTTGACAGTTGTAAGGCAGTGATCTCCCATATACCTGAGGGTAGCAGGTGTCAGAGTCTCCTTACCAGTGGAGAATGAATTCCAGGACCCTCAGGGAAGACTGAATTGCCTTGAACCCAGGCATTTTAATTGGTGAGATCACCCAGGCCCCCTGCAGTTACTTATGACAGCATGTTACCAGGTAGTGGTCTCTACTGCCAGCTACATGCTTTTAGAACATATACAGAGTGTTTTATAGGTTTCGAATCACATGGCATAGCAGCAGGGTGGATGACGACAAAATAAGGGCTACACAGTCAAAAGAACGTGAGAGATCTGGTTTAATGCAATAGCATTGATTGCAAGAGATTAACTTAACAATCATGGAGGCACAGGGATTATTGGGGTCCTGGCATGCAAATGAAGATGATTGTAATACTCCTTGAAAAACTTATCTGGCCGCCTTATCAGTTTTGTTTGCTGTTAACACAAGACTAGACTGGGGTTAATTTTCCGTGGAGCCCCATTCCGCAAAGGCTTTTCCAACCAAAGGTGGTAGTCATCTTTTAAAGGGACAGCTTGAAAACAACACTAAACAGAAGTCTGTCTTGGAATTCTGGTACTTTCTGAGAAGGAGATGCAGAGATGTCGAAGCTCTGATTTTTATAACACAAAGGTACATATAAGAAACCTTTATCTACCAGGATTTATCTGGATTTCCCCAACACAAGCTAGCTGGGGTTTGCAGAGTGAGAAAACCCTGCTATGCTGGGATGACTTCACCATCACCCCAAAGCAAGCATCCGCTGACTGATTTGGCTGCCTCAAACCCTGATGGTCTAGTTTTACTAGAAAAAGCTATTGTTTTAGAGATCTAAATTGCTTTAGGTGGTTGTATATTGGAATTTTCAATGGTTCTAAATTTTATATTGTGCTTTATTGCACCCGTAGTCTTTACTGTGTCTCTTTTTAATTGTACTTCAGGAAATGGTTGGAAACTGCACAGAGAGCATTAGCGATTGGGCTGTATAGAAACAGAACAAACAAAGATAATGAGAGGACGGACCCTGCCAGTTGAGCACCTGTCCCCAGGTAATTCACTTAATGCACGGGAAAATAGTTTGTTGCCTGTGTGGAATAAAGTGCTTTGGAGAGAAATGGAGTGGTGCGGGGGGGGGGGAGTTTGTTTTATATTTGGACAGACGGGAACTGAGCCCAGCTCCCTCTTTAGCTCCTGCTCTGGCCCTTTCTGCCTACTCTACCTTACAATGCCCCTCCCCACTTAAAAAAACCTGGCATGAGACATCTTTTACATCTTTGGGTCAGCTTTTGGATAAAGCGTCTGAGGTTTTTGCTTTCGGATTCTGGGAGGAAAAAACTTCATTACGTATAACAAGTCAATTTAAAAAGAGAATTGCAGGCTTTCCAGGTTGTGTCCGTTCCATCTTGCAGGCTCCAGCTTTAAAGAGCTATCCATGGTTTTAGACCCGTTTTGTGGAGTTGTGGGTAGCAATCAGCACCATGGACAGCTCAGTTGAAGTTCCGACTGAAATCCAGAGGGGGCGCGCCTTCGCCCTGCCAGGAGAAATTATCTGTTCCGTTAGGAGCATGTGTTTTTCTGTAGAGGTTCCATCACTCGTCACCACTGTAGCTTCCAATAATTGGCAAAGGAGGCCGTCTTTTTGTTTTTGTTTTGTAATGCTGGCAACCGTTATGAGTCCTCCCAAATCCCCAGCACATCGCAGGATAGGGTTCTTGGGGAAAAAAGAACCGTGGTGCTCTAATTCTCTTTTCCCCAAAGAATTCCCCCCTGCCCCCCAATGGCAAATTTAGTTGAAGCAAAACAACCAATATCAAGATGGGTGAGACAGCTGAGAAACGGTCCTTGTCAGATCAGCCCTTTTCTCATAGGTGCGGGCAAATGAAAAGGGCAAATTCTCCCTTTAACTTCCCTCATTCTGGAAAAGTCAGCCTGAGATGTCACCTCAAAATCGCCCAGGGTCAATTCTGCCTCTTTGCTTTCCTTGCAAACGCACATTTTAAAGTTCAGGGGGGACAGGAGGATGAGACGGCTAACTGCACTCATGCCCTGCACTTTTCCCTCCCTAGCAGAAGTCTCCAAAACCACATATCTTAAAAAAAATCTACACGCGGACACACAACCCATAGTGAGTGCTGTGAACTTGACCTACTGAGAGCACCGTGTGACAGCAGCTTTGGTGACCCTGGGGTTGAGGTTGCGTTTTGGTGGCCCGGCAGCTTCTTGCCCATCTCCTCTAGACAGATGTTACGAGAACAAGCAGCTGTTGCATGAACTATGGGGGAGAAGCAGCCGGCCATCGATCTCTCGGAAACAGCTGCAGCGTCTTTGTTGCTGGTTGCTGGGAAATCTGCAGAGCGCAGAAATCTTTATTCGGAGAGCAGCTTCCAGGAAAGACCCATGTCACTTCGCCATCGTTGCAGGGGAGGGATAGCGGAGAGATTCCTCATCTGTCACGCTCAGCTTTTGTTCTCCTACCAGTGCTGAATTCTCTGGTAGTTCTGTATTGGATGAGAAGGGGGAAGGAAGTGGGGAGACGTGCCCCGTGAGGAGGGGTGAGGTCAAGGTAAGGATTTGCAATGATCGTGACTCAACTACAGGGCTGAGCAGAGGTCAAAATTCAGGAACCCTCCCCCGGTGGCAGTTCCCCACCCAGCAAACCTTCAGGCACATGCACCTTGGCTTCAGGCCAGCCTTTCTGTTTTAGTCTGGCCCCTGCGTCTGAGCCTGGGCCCCCCATGAAGTGGGGTGAGTAACCTGCCTCAGGTGGCAGATCCAGAAGTGAACTGGGCCCCCTACGTAAGAGTAAGCCAAGCTGGATCAGACCCATGGTCCATGCAGTCCAGCACTCCAAACCAGCTCCTCACAGGATCCCCCAAGCAGGACGGGTGCACAGCCTCCCGCTGCCCAGCTCCTCAGCAACTGGTGCCTGTAAAGGCGGCAGCACAGGGCCTGCAAGGCCAGTAGCCACCAGTAGCTTCCTCCTCCATGAATCTGTTCCCCTCCTGTTTAAAGCCATCCCAACTGGGAGCCACCACCACGTTCTGTGACAGTGAATTGCAAAGAAGTCCTTCTTTTATCTCTCCTGAATCCCCCAACAATCTGCTTCATGGGAAGACCCCTTTGGGTCCCAGTGTTATGGAGAGGGGGGAATGTATCCCTCCCCACACGATGCATAGTTCTAAACACCTCTGTCAGGTCTCCCCCTTCTCTCCTTTTTCCTGAGCCAAACAGGCCCAGGTGTTGTGGCCGCTCCCACCCCGGGGCAGCCGCATGTCCTGCCGCTGCCCTGTACCTCTGGTCAGATGGTCATTCCAGAGAGCCCTGTTGGCTGCTCGTGCAGCGGCAAACCTCTCAGCAGGAAAGCAACCAATGGGGCACTCCAGAACGGCTGTCACAACGTGCCCGATGACGTGCCCTGAGGACCTCTTGGAGCAAGACCTGGTCAGCTGCCCGGCTCCAGAACGCCGTGCCCAGCAACTTTATGGCAGCAGTGAATGTGAGCAGCTGGTGCAGTGCCCTCGAGAAGCAGGCCGATGCCTCACTTGACGGCATCCTCCTGGCGCTCGGCTCTCCGGAAGACCGGGTGAGCTGCAGACCCACTCCCGGCGCTCCTCAAAGTGGGACATCAGCCCAGCTGGTGCCCTGGTCGCCCTCCTGCTGCGGCAGGGCCGTGGCTGGTGGAGCCTTCTGGACGGCCACCCACCCAAAGTCTCCCTAAGGGGCCCGGGAGCACCAGCACTGGGCAGAAGGGCTCTCCAGCGAGTCCCACCAGCAGAGTCTCCCGCCAGAAGAGGGGCTGGCGCTGCTCTCCAGAGAGCCGACCAATGCCCAACTCTGGGGGCTTCAACGTCTCCCCATGGGCAGTGCCGCACCCAGCTGTGTGCTTGGAAACCCCAGCCTGGGACTTCCTTGATGCAGCTGATCTGTAGATCACACCCTACATGGATCCCCTGCCTTTTCCCCTCTTGTGAGGAACCCACAGTGCTTTACGTGGCTACATTTTGTCTCGCAGCAGCAACCCGTGAGGCCGAGGGAGCAAGGCTGGCCCCAGGTCCCCCAGTGAGCTCCATGGCTGAGGGGGGACTCGAACCCGGATCTCCCGGGCCTCCACCCCAGTGCACTAACCCCAGCGGCACCCTGGCTCTCAGTGCCCACGCCCAGGACTTGGGCTCCATGGCTCGCCCTTAGTGATGCCACCACCCACCCTGCAGCGCGTGGCCCAAACTCAGCGGATGCCCGGAGGTAGTGAAGGCGGCAAGATGCGCTTCTTGTGAACATGCTTGCGAACCCCCCTGCCCTGGCTGCGCGCTCCGTCTTTCGATGCGCTCGCTCCCCTGCACCCCCACCCCCAGTCCTGTTGAGATTTGCTTGTGACTTGCAAAGTTAATTAATTTGTGTTGAGCTGCATTTGGCAAATGTGATTTTAATTAACCAAGTGTGCGTCACAAAACATATGGGGAGAAGCCAGAACAACATTAACACATTAGCAAAGGGCCGAGATTGTTGCCAGGCAGGCAGCCAGCAGAAACGAGCACACACACTGCTCGCCTGCTCGCCTGAGTGAATTCGGGATGTGGCTGCGACGTTTAATTGGTTAATTGGCAAGACTGATGTATTTTTTTAAACACCTTTAAATGACTAAGAAGGTGTATCTGCTGAGCCAGGCAACAGAACTTTAATAGTTTTCGGAGAATGAACCCATCAACACAGTGTGTGGCGGCTGCGGAAAAGGCAAATTCTGCGCTGGAGAACATTAGGGAAAGAACTGAAAACAAAACTGCCAAGATCACATTGTGCCGGTGTGACTACACTTGGAATGCAATGTACGGGTCAGGTTGGTACACTTCTAAAAGGACAGCACAGGATTGGAAAAGGTGCAGAAAAAGGAGACAAGAGGGGCTCCTTGTGACGAAAAGTTATTTGTTTATTTAAGATATTTGAATGCCGTCCTCTGCAAGAGCCTCAGGACAGCTTACACAAATGAAATACAAATACCTAACATAACATCAATTAATTAATGACCCACTCTGGCTGCAATTAAAATATGGTGATAAAATTCAATATTAAAACTTATTAAAATATTGATTAAATAAAAAGGTTTTAAGCTGGCACCGAAAAACATCTAATGACGGTGCCAGGCGGACCTCTCTGGGAAGCGCATTCCAGTTCCCCAAGTTACCTCCTTGGGGCTCTTTAGCTTAGAGGAAAGTAAGTGAGGGAAGTAATGGTAGAGGGGTTCAAATATATGGTGTGGAGAAATAGAGAGGGATGGAGACATTTTTCTTCCTCTCTCATAGTACTAGAAAATCTTTATTTTATTTATGTATTTACACTATTTTTTATCCCATCCTACACAATCCAATTGGCCCAGGACGGATTACAATATAAACAAGCAATAAATTCACAAACAATAAAAATACAATAACAAAATGCGACTGAGAATATTAATAAAACCAAATTAAAATTATTTAAACCTTAAAACGGTGGGCGAATGAAAGGTTTTTACCTGGCGCTGAAAATAATATAAAGTCAGCCCCAGGCAAACCTCTCTGGGGAGCACATTCTATCAAATATTCCATCAAGCTGATAGGCGGGGAGATTCTGGACATACCAAAGGCAGAACTTATCCTCACAGAGCATAGCTAAATTACGGAATTCACTTCCACAAGGTATTATCATTATTATTATTATTATTATTATTATTATTACATTTTTATACTGCCCATAGCCAAAGCTCTCTAGGCAGTTGACAGCAATAATCATAGAATCATACACTCAAGTCACCCATCCCGCTTCTGCCCAGGCCTGACCCTGCTTAGCTTCCAAGATTAGGCAGGATCAGGCACTTCAGGCTACATGGAAGTATAGTGCAGTCATGGGCATCAGCTTGGATGGTTTTGAAGGGGGCTGGGCAAATTCATGGAGAAGAGACTCACAAGGGCCGCGCTGTGTTCATGGCCGCACTAATTTACCGGTCAGGCAACACACAGCATGTGGGGCACATGGCCCACGTTGTGCTCCTCTTAAGGACGCAGGACGAACAAGTGAGTCCTGGGCCAAACCAAGCCAGGACTTTCGCTAGAAGCGAAGATGACACAACGGAGGCAGTCATACTTTGGAGATCTGAGGAGAAGGCAAGTCTCCCCGGAGAAGACCATCACGCAAGAGAGAGTCAAAGGCCGAAGAAGAGGAAGACCGGCTGTGAGACGGATGGGCTCCGTGAAGGAAGCCACGGCCTTGAACTTGCGAGAGCTGAGTGGGCCAGACATTCTGGAGGGCTTCCATTGATGGAGTTGCCAGAGCCAGAGGTGACTTGCAGCCACACAACACACAAGGCCACAGGAAGGCTTCAAAGAAGCCCTTGGCCAGTCTCTCCCAGGGAACCCAAAGGACTGAAGGAGGAGGGATTTGAATTACTCTTGGAGTGGCAGCTGGTACCCATTTTGGTGCTGTTCCACCCAATCTGTGCTGTAGCGCATGTGCCAAGACGTTGCCCAAAGTGAAAGGAATAAAAGACGTTATTTTAGCATAAAGGCTTTCTTTCATTTCCACATGTTGATTTTTTTGTGTGGTTTTTTTGTGGGGGGGGGGGTGAACTGGCTGAGTGGGGAGAAGTCAAAGGCAGATGAAGGGGAAGGCCAGCGATAAGGTGGATTCATTCCAGCCGTGGGTTCAGAAGAACTGAGCCGGGCTGCTGAGGACAAAACATTTTGGAAGTTGCTTATTTGTAGGGTTGCCGTTAAGTCAGAGATGACTTGATGGCACATGACCCATGTATACTAACACCAATCCAAATGTTCCCCATGCCTGTTTACACTGAAATTTAAAAAAAAAAAGTTAGGATCAGGTACACGCTACGGGTTGAATCCAGGGTGACATTTTACTCTCTGTGCGGGAAAATCTTGCGGCACCTCAAGCAGCATGGAATACTGTGAGAAAACCGTTTGATGCACGTTCAGTCCATGGTGCAGAGACAGGGCAATAATTAAGTGCCACTTTCAAACAACCCCCTTGGAATTTGATATAACACCAGTCACAAAAAGAAAAAAGAAGCAAAAATCAAATTTGAACCCATGGTCTCTTCACAGACTTTGATTCTGCTGCCACCAAGTGGTCATTTATAATTTTGACCAGAAGTAGCAGCCAAGGCGGCAATCCTAGGCGTGTTTAAACAGAAAAAAAGTTATGTGCTTGTGTAGGATGCCACCTGCTAATACATTAATTGTATTGTTAGTCTATTAAAATAAAAAAGAAGCAAAGCAAATCAATGCAGGAACAGGAAGTACTTCTGGCAGTCAGGACCCCTAGGATATGGAATGGGCTTCCAAGGGAGGTGGTGGAGGCCCCATCCGTGAGGGTGTTCAAGGAAAGATTGCACAGCCACATGTTGGGGATTGCATGAGCAGAGCTGGCTGGAGCTGGGGGTCCGACTAGATGGCCCAGGAGACCCTTTCTGACTTGCTATGTTTCTATGAGCAGGGTCCCCAAAAGACACACACACACACAGAGGGTTGGGCATACGTAAATTAGCATTTGCAAAAGTATGGCTTCCGCTTTTTCTCCTGGGGGTCTGAGCCCCAGAGTGTTTTTGCATTAGCACCACTCCTGAGCCTGCCGAACCATCTGGGGCCAGGTAAGAACAGCACAGAGGCCCCGGGGACCCTTCCGTCCAGGGGCACGTCCTGCAGGGTACGAGTGAGGGGAGCAGAAAGCTGGTTGTGAAGGCTGGCCGGCAGCCCTGCAGCAAGAGGTCCTCCTTCCATGAGCAGAAGGCCTCCACTCCCAAGAGGTGCCCCAGCGCACTCTCTGGGGGTCCCCTCTTTTCACACAGCACCCCTAATGTGCAGCACCCCCTGCGGCATTTTCTGGGAGCTGGAGAAGGGGCACAGAAGTCTCTTTCTGGACCTGACCCACAGCTGTGGCTCTGCTGGACTGCCAGAAGGGACCCCAATCTCCCCAAGGTCCCTGAAGTGCTCACGGCTCAGAAATGCGGGCAGGGCAGGGTGGGTGTGGGGCTGTGCCCATGCGAAGGGCGATCCGGAGCACTTCATCAAGCTGCGAGGGCAGGATGTGACCCCAAGCACCGCGCTTCCTCCAACAGGGGCCGAGTGCACCAATGAGTTCAGGGACTGCATCCCGCCAGAAGCCCTGGGGTCCCAGCTGGAGGTGCTCTCTGGGAAGCTGTGACCCCAGGCCTGCAGAGGGAAGGCACGAGGGGGAGACGAGGAGGCAGAGGGGAGGCTGGGAAATTCTTACCGGACACGCCACCTCTATCCTGCAAAGGAGCTCCCAGCTGGACTCACATCTTGTGTCCGTTGTTGTGATGCGCCACCAGATCATCTCCGGCTTACGGCGACCCTATGAATGGAAGCCCTCCAAAAGCTCTTACGCGTGGCAGCCCTGCTTGGCTGTTCCAAATCCAAGGCTGCGGCTTCCCTGATGGAATTGGGTCTTCCTTTTCTCGGGCCTTTGAATTTCCCCAGCACAGTTGCCTTTCCCGGTGATTTGTTCCATCGCTTGGCTGGAAAGCATATCAAATTGGTGGTGTGGAGGTGGGATTATTTGCGTGGGAGGATCAGCAGGCAGAAAGGAGTTAAACGTCTTTTCAGCTATTCTCTACCCTGAGCAGTAGCGTGGTGAGGGGTTCTCCACCATCATAATCCAAATTATCACCCTCATAATCCAAATGTACTGATGGGGAAAAAACTGTCCCCAGTTTTCTACTTCCAGACCACCGAGCAAACCCAAGCAAAGCAGCCCTTTCAAACGTGCACTTTGAATCTCGCAAGAGGGTCTTCCGATCAAAACATGCAAGCCAAAATGCGTAAGTCTGGGGAAGTAACATTCAAGAATGCATTGCATTGGGAAACCGTTCAGAATGCATTGCACTGGGAAACCGGTCACCCCCAAATGAGTACATTGGACAAAAATGCACGTGTAAACAAAATGTAAGCAAAATACACCCTTTCCGTCCTGTTTTATAGGGGATCTAATCTGCAGTGACTGAGGCATGCGCTGGATGGCAGCAAAGCTCATCTCTGGAAAGAGGAGTTCTCACAGGCACAAAACGAGACTCCAGAGGTACCCCAGGCCGTGAGAAATCTCAGGCACAACTTTGATGTGCAGAACAATCTGGTGTTCTGGGAAGACAAGTTGAATACACAGGGATTTTGAAAAAGAGATGCTCTTTTGCCGAGCTTGGCCCAGAGCGGTAGGTTGGGCGGCTGGTATATTCCATTTAATTTTATTATTTATTAAAAGCTTTTTTATATCATCCTGTCACAAAAGTCTCAGGATGATATATCATCTAAACCCTCAAAATTTTCCCCTCACTTGTATGCTTTTGCTTGAACTGACAGGATGTGGTCTTTTGCATGGATTTCCATCTTGAGACAGACCAGCATGGAATGCTCTCATACTGGCCTTTGGGAACCTGGGAAAGAGTTCGCTCGGCAGGCAATGCAACCCACCAGGACAGAAAAGAGGTCCCTGTTCCATGCAGGGGAGAGAAGCGCATGCCTTAAAGGGATTGCATGGGAGCCCACTCTAATGCTGAGGGTAGGAATGCCCCCCCCCCCGCCGGCCCCTGGTAAGCACGGCTTCTTCACCCCTGATCGGCCTGGGGTGGGACCCATGGAGCCCTGCCAAGGACTCCAACCTCTCTTTAAGACCTTTGCAACCTCTCCCACAGAAACTTTAGCTGGCTTTGGTCTTGGTGCCCTGGCCAGGTGGGCCAGGCAGCGGGGATGGGATGGGACTCAGCATGGCTGTCACCAAGGAAGGCAAGCCAGGTGAGAAAGCCAGGTGTCCTATTTGACTACATTGGGCCCAGAGGGCCAGCGAGTGTTTGGCTGTGCAACCTGGATTTGCATAACAACATAACAAATGTTGGGGTTTGAGAAAAGGGCTTTCAAGCCCCCAGGGAAGAACCACCTCTTGTGCAAATCTGCAGCATGGATGTGTCACCGTCTCACTGTTAAGTGTGGCAGGAGCGCATGCTGGATCGTCAGCCCTATATGGCGAGGGAGTCGCACATCATAAGGGGATGCTGGCATGACAGACTTTGCACAAGGCCCTTCCAATCACGCCGGTTTCAGTATTTTATGTGTCAGGAAACATTTGTGCACACACGTCACGCACGGATCAGTGA